CTCTACATGATTAATTGTCTGCTGCCGTTGTCCCGAGCTTCAGCAATGGTGGTCTGCATTTTCTCTGGGATTTTAATATTTAATACTTTTCATAGTTACGAGTCCCAGCCAGTCCTAGCACTCAGGCTGTGCAACTAACCTAATCCTACTTGACTCAGAGAAAACCGATACAGACAATTATTTACAAGCAGTCACAGACAAACTACACCGTAGCCTTGTTTTGGTTTGTTATTGAGCATGCTAAAATGCACCCTGCTCAGATAGCCATGCTAATGATAAGCACTGCTGGTCTTGTTTAACGTTTCTTCTCACTGCTTGGGAAACAACGGCTTGCACAAAGCACTGCTGCTCAGCTCTCGACTGCACAAACATTCGCTAACTTCTCTTTTCCCACATCACAAAACACACAAATCCACCACAACTGCTGCATGAGCTATGGCTCCCATGTACAGTATATTTGGAATGATTTGGAAAACATGTTTGTCAAAGACGGCTGTGACTTTAAGGTCAAACACTTAAATATGTGCATATGTCAATGACTACGAGTTCAACATCAGTCAGTTCAGTTTGATTTAGAACAGAGAAAATAGTTTCCAAAGGTTATAATTATGAATTGTTTTATATGTGAAACTCTTTTCAGAGTATGGAAGGATTATTTCAAGTTTACCAGAATACTATCTAAGTTTAATAATTAAAATTATTTTAATATTTTCATCATCTGAATTTAGAATCATAGTTTTTAATAAAAAATCAAGCATATTTTCCTTGCTTTTATTGTCCAATCTGGCTAGTTTTATTGCAAACCTAATCTACCTCCTAATAGTATTAGTAGCTGTGTGTTGGTAAGGTCTTGCATCCACAAGTTTTGACTGCCTTGTGCAGTAATGGGCATGTGTTTGTATGTGATGGTTGTAGTAAAGCAGCGTAGTGGGAGTTTACTAGTCTCCTGTGCATTAAGTTTATAGTGGTTCCAGCCAGAAACGAGTTGGCACGACTGCACCAGAGGCAGAAATGTGAGCCCCACACAGAATAAGAAGTGTCTTCTCACTCACCGTCGCACAGAAAAGTCAAACAGCCACCGTGTGTATTAATGTTTGATCAAGGGTGTGAATAATAGATGTGTCTTTATTATTTGTCCCTCCGGTGTCCTGCTGCTCTCTTTTCCTTTCTCCTCTTTCTCCTTCCACATCTCGTTAATCCTACATTAATGTTTGTCTCTCCCTCAGGATGCTGCTGCTTCCTTAAATCTCCCCTGATTGGAAGGACCAGCATGGACGCACTCTATCCTGTGGATTTCCCACAATCCTTAGCTGCCTGGTAAGATGCTGTTGTAAAAAGCAGTTTTCACGTTGCCATAAACTTTAGACCGAACACTCTTAATGATTCCAAGGCTGTGTTTTGTATTGGACCGTTTACAGCTCATGTGCTAAAATATTCCCAGAAATGAATGACTTAGGGCGTGAGCTGGACAATGCTGATACTGTACACTACCTGGAAAACTGCACGTAGTCTGTTACTGAATATTCCCAGCCAAAATAATCACCTCGTGTAACAGTGTTTGGCAATTGCTGAGGATTTGTGTTGAAGCGTTGAAGTCACCGAACATTAAGGTGTTGCATCAGCACAGAACTAGTGCACATGGTGCTTCATTGCACTAGAGCAACTCTGAACAGTTGCACAATGCCAGATTGAAAGTGTCAGATTCTGTGGAAAAAGCCACTGGACTTTGGATCCAGTAAAATGTCTTTTTTTGATGTGTTGATCCTTTCTCTGGCAGTAAGATCATTGGTGCTTTTTTTTTAATGTCAAAGGAAAGTTATTCACTGAAGTTTTGGATCAACAACTCTGGGTGGTTTTCAGGGATTGGCTTCGGGCTTTCAGTTGGGCTTCAGAGGAATCTGAATTCAGATATTTTATCCTCATATTTTAGGGACATTTTCTGTAGCAAATCATTTATTTTCCAGCACGACGATACCCCAACATCTAAAGTATGGTTTTGTGTGTTTTTTTTGTGTGGAAGAACCAGAATGTCCTGCCTAATGTCCTGGCTTCAGACATGATAAACTCTTTGTCCCACATCACTGCTTGACCTCTGCATTAGTGAGCAGGTTCCTAAACGTACACCCCAACGTCTTGTAGACTGGGGTTTAGACTGGGGTTGACTTAAACCTCCTGTGACACTTGTGTTTTAAATAGTTTTAAATAGTTTCATCCATTTGTTGTTTTTTCTTCTAAAGACAGGGTTCGTGTTCTGTTTATTCTATAATTTGAACTTTGTTGGTGTTTGAAATTCCTTTGGCACCTCACAGTATTTTGTTGTCACCATAGAAACCAGCTGTAGTTGGGTTCCACATGGATAATTGTGGTCTCCGAGGGAAACCAGCAAGTGCTCATGATTTTCAGCATTCTTCCTCTCATCATTCTTTTACCTTTTACCTTTTACCTTTACCAGATTTGCAGCTGAGTCCACTGAACCCTGAAGCGTGACTAGTGTCAGTCTGGGACTGAACTCCTGTCAGGTACAAAAACACACACAGGAGCACACACACACACACACACACAAACACACACATAGGCCATGGATTAAAACAGTAAATCAGTTATTTATTAAAACCAATTAAAATAGTCTTTTATAAAGTGTAAAAAAACTGCTTTGCAATTTTTTTTTCATTTTATGCATTTTTATTTGAGAGATTAGAAATATAAATAAGACATTGAAGGTGTAGGTCCGTTCAACAAGAACTCTTCATAAGAACTAAAAAGTCCGTTCAGCAAGAACTCTTCATAAGAACTAAAAAGTTCTTGCTCGAAGTCCCTGGCTGCATTTCCATTGCTGGAGTTCTATGCAAATTAGATCTCTGCCGTGTGACAAACACTCTCACCATTCTTTTAGTTTGCTTGTGTGCCCTCATTATTCTTAGAGAACATTACAGAGCGCAGCCCACATTCCTCATATATTCTTGCAGTTTATCTTTAAAATGAATAGTTCAATTTGTCATAATTGCATGCAAGGGAAGTCATACATTTAAAAGAGAAATGAAAAGAACTGCTATAAAAAATACCAAGACTATTTCTCTACAAATTCTCCATTATATCTGAACCATTTTGCAAGTGATGTTTCAATCAGAATGTTTTGCTTTGTATAATTTAAGGAGATGTCTATCATGTTTGCCTCATCGAAAAACTTAAATCAAACTCCTTTCAAATGTTCTGTCAGTTTTAGAAAAAATAAAAAGATGAAGATGAAGCTAGATTAGGGTTGTATTAATAATCCATCAATATTTTCCTAAGATAATTCTAAAAGTCAAGTCAGTTTTATTTCTGTAGCCCATATTTAAAAATCACATTTGTCTCCTTGGATTTCACAATTTTAAATTAAACTTGAATAATATCCTCCTAAAAGACATTTACCAGGGAGAAAATTGAGATGTATACAGTCAATGTCTATATTGAGTTTAAATGAACAACAGACTAAAGCTAAAGGATAAAGTTACAGTTACACACTGAGTAAGCATTATAGCATCGATGGAGAGAAATAGATCCCTTTAACAGGGAAAAATCTACAATATATCCAGACTCAGTGTTGCCGTCTGTGTCTGAGTGTAGGATTTGGTAAATCCTGATCAAGTTGAATGCAACACAGCTCAGTGCACAACAGATATATAGTGATGGAGTTTGTCTTTCAGATTTCAAATTATAACCACTGTCTTTGATTGTTTTGAGGTTACAAATAGTTGTAACACATTGAACACAAAACATGTAACAAACAGTACAACAGTTTAAAAAATGGATGTTGATCACATGTTGATTTTCAGTAGTACAACAGCAAGCCTAATATTTTGATACTTGTATTGTGTAGATGTTGAATTTACTAGTTGTCATAATTGTCCTTTCAGGTGTTTGGTCTATTGGTATGATGATGTCAGTAGATGTGACCAATCGCAACGGCCCCCCTGCCACGCCTCCCACCTCGCTCAGCCTACGATCATCACACAACCAGCTACTCTGCAGCGATGTCATCAACCAGGGCTCTGCCACACCTCCCAAGTGTCGCAAAAAGTATGCACTTACCAGCATTCAGTCTGCCATGGGCCTTGGAGAAGCGGTACCGTCTTCACCTTCACCTTCACCATCATCACCTCCATCACAATCATCGACCCCCAACAATCCCAAACTGGCAAAGAATGGGGTCAACCAGCTTCGCAAAGCCAGCCAGGACCATAACAAGAACACGACTTGCTCTGACATGACTGGTCTGGACTGTAATTCGGAATCGTTAGCAGATGAGCTCAATGTCAACACAGCCGAGGAGCACGACAGTGAAACGATCTCCCTTAATGACCAAGAGGACGAAGTTCATAAGTTAGATGTCGAGGTTCAGCCAAACCCTGATACTGAGGCAGAACCTGAGCAGGAAACAGAATCAAATGTAGACTGTAACATCAACACATCTGTGAAGCTCCAGCTGAACGGCAACCCGGCGGATTTGGGCTTTGACCTGAACATCGAGACAGAGGAGAGTGATGACATTAGCATTCTGTCTGAAAAGGAAGTTATGTCAAAGATGAAGGTGAAGGAAGATGAAGATGAGATGGTTCAGGAACAAGAAGATGAGGAGACAAAGCCATTACTGATGAGAAAAGACGAGTCTCCAGTGGAGAACCACAAAGTTTGCCCGGGACTGGAACTTATCACTGACCTTCAGTCCAACATTAAGCTCCTCAAATCAGGCAAGGACTCTCCAGTGCCACCGCCTCCCTCTCTACCACGGCACAACAGCCCTGAGGACGTGCCCTTGCTTTCTGTGGCCTCCTGCTCCTCCTCTTCCTCCTCCTCTCCAGAAACCAAGAAGGACAGAAGGACCGGTGCAAAGACAGACTGTGCTTTGAACCGCATCCAGAATCTGAACCCCAGTGATGAAGAGTTGAGTTGGACCACTCTGTCCCAGGAGAGCAATTCCCCCGAGGAGACAGGTAAGACACAAATAACAAAGATTATTTTGCAAAACTGAAGGAAAAAAAAAAACTTCAAGCTGAGCTGTCAACTTTTATTTATCGTTTCTTTGATGAGAACTTTCTCTCCCTGCTGTGTTGAGCTGTTAGTCTTCTGGATGCTGATAACGTGTTTCTATTTAGGGCGACCTAGTGTGCTAGCATGTCTGTGAGTGTAAGTGAAACATGCAACAACATTCTCTGCCTCCACCAGTAAATCTCTGTCTGGGGCAGAAAGACCCCTGTGACCTCATGGCTGTTTGCCAGGCTAGAGCAGTGGCACAATGTTTTAAACTTAGCTCTGTTTATGGACAAATCTGTGTGTGTGTGTGTGTGTGTGTCTGATTTTACCATTTAAGCCAAACCCTAGTGTTTGAGATGTGTTGCTGCTTAGATGTTCTTTATCTGTGGCTCCTCTTATCTCTTTAGTCTGTGTTGTGTTACTGGAGCTGATAATGGAGACAGTAGCTGCTTTCAACAGTATTCAGCAGAAACACACACTTCACACACAACTATTTGAACTATTTTTTATGTTGGTGCAATTATATTTGGAACAACAAGCTCTGGTCATATCTAAATTGATGTCAATTAAGACAATTTTCTCAATTTGGCCTTAATATAAAAAGTAAAGTAATGCTTTTGCAGAAGCAATTGTCAATAAAGTAATTATGTTGAAAAACTTGTTGCACATTGACAGACGCTGTTGTCCTACAGTATAATTGGTCCTTGTATTCTTAAAATGTTCAGACGCAAAAACACTATTTCTGGCATCTAAAAATGTCCGGCATATTTAAAAAAAAAAAAACTGGTAATGTGTCCATTATCACATTTTACTGAAATATACCTTACATTTTACATGAAAAGTCAATGGAGTTATTTGTTACTGTGACTGCTATAGAGAAATAGAAAGATGAAAAACTCCTCATAAACAAAGACAACAGAGACAAAATTAGTCCACTTCCCACTCTGTTAATAAAATCACAGAAAATGGATGATAGAGAGTTAGATGCAACGAAGCCATTAGATGATCCAGACGGTGTTCACATCTGATTTTAGGTAAGAATTTGTCTTATATTCCACTGTTGGAGAACTTCTGTTCTGTCTTAAATGCCTCACCATTGGCTCGAAGTGTTCTCAGTTCTTTTCCGTTCCCCAGATTGCATCATAAAACATTAACTATTAATGCTACAGCATTGCAAACTATTGAAAGTCTACAACTCTCAGGTGTAGCGTTGTACTCTCCTAAACCGTATGGTTTCTGCAGTTCTGTCCAAATGTTTTTTTTAGGTCCTTTCTAAGTAAAGTGTTAAATGTACATCTTCAGTTGTAATCGAACCGTTCAAACACTTTCTTTGTAAATAAAATGAAACCCATCCATTTAGTTGACAACAGCCAACCACTGACATCACATCAGCTGTAAACAATCTTCTCAGGCTATAAGGATTGTGTTGTCGTTGTGGCTGCTTGACTCCTCTTACAGTACAATGCTTCTCTTGAAGTTCTCTGACTCACTTCCTTGAGATGAAGGTTCCAAACATCCGTCCGTTTCGCTTCTGTACAAGTATTTTGGGAGAATTCTTGTTGTTTTGTCTTTAATGCTCATGGGGCCATGTCTACAGCAGTGTATGTGGGGAAGTCCAGAAGTTTAAAAAAAAAAAAAAAAAAAAAATCTTCAACTTAACTTTATTAACGAAATCAAAGTAATGTTGACAATATTGTCGTTTACCGGCACTAATTTGTGGGACAACATATCGTCCAGCAAAATTTGTAATTGTCACAGGCCTACGTGTCTTTAGAACTTTCTGACCTGCCCCCGTATCATTCTGTCATTAAAGAACCTTGTTAAATTCAAGTCAGTGAATGTGTGGTGTTTATTAGTGGACGGTGAGGGACAAACAGCAGATATTACTGGCAACATAGTCTTTACTTAAGACATAGTCCTCAAAGGGTTTGCAGAGTCAATAATCGCAGCACTGGAATCTGTCCTCTTGGATTTATGGAAAGTGAACCCCTCATCTTCCCTGCTGCTGTGCCCACCTGTCTGCCTGGCTGTCTCATATTGACAAATCTGTGTCGTTTTCCCAGTGGACTGTCAGATTCCTCTGTAGATGTTGTGGTTAGAGGACTGGTATGACACTGCTTTCACACACAGGAGGCAAAACACACACATGCTGAGTTCAGGAAGGTCATTTTATGAGAATAGCAATGGTGTTACTTTCAGTGGTTGAATCAGTCACACGTGAAACTATGTTTTGTACGAGGACGACTTAAGGATGCTTAAAGATACAGCCCATATCTAGAAAGAAAGAAAAGGTTTCTAAAATTGCACAAAAATAGTACTGAAACCTTTATCAGACAAAGTATTAGAAATATGAGTGACAGACTAAATTGTGATTTGTGACACATAAGGACTCCAGATGGGTCTTTATTATAGTGTGAAGTCTGATATTGTCTTCTGTGGAGGAAATATCTTCCAAACCCTGATGTCCATTATCTTTAATACATTGAAAGCCACAGAGTCTGGACTTTCAGTCCAAAGCAGTATAGAACTAGGCAACGGGACTGATCCAGTTTCTAGAAGAAATGTCACCTTTTATCCAAAGGGCTTCTGACTGAAGAAGTGGCCTAGTTCTTGACTGTTTTTGACTAAAATTACCTGAATTATCCAAACAGATATTTTGTCTTTCTTCGATTCCAGATGAATTCTGGCTTAGACAACTTTTTTCATAAAAAAGTTGATTCACGACTTCCTCTTTGCGTGATGAAGTCTCAGAGAGCATTTTTCTCGCAATGACAGCTTGTGTTAATTGACAAAGAATTCCTGAAGCAGATGTAGCCATGTCTGTCAGAGGAGCGTGGAGGTTCCAAACGCAGTACCCAATTTAACCTGCCAATTGGACCTCCTATATGTCACTCATATATGTCTATATATGTAGACATATTTAGTCTTAAATCTCTAGATTGTGTGCTAACCTTTCTGTAAACGGGGTTTTTGTAGATGAAACATTTTTGTGAGTGAGTGCAGCATTGTTTTAGAATTGCTTAATTTAGGACCGGAAAGGACAGGCAGGCTTATCTGAGCTGCTGATGTTGTTGATGATTCAGATAAAGGAAGTTCAAGAGCATAGACGGCGACAAATGCTGCACAGCTGAAGGGGAGTTCAAGTCCCCTTCTTATCTTGGTGAATTCCATTTTTGGGCCTGATTTGTCATCTTCTAGTCAGGCTCCTAAATGCACTCATCTTTTTACGTAACTCTTCTGCTTCTGAGCCTTTATGTTTCTCTATATACCTCACTCTCCTCACCCTTTCTTCTCACCCTTTCTATTGCAGTTCCCCCTCTCTGTTCTCTGCTCCCTCTCTCACTCTCTCTCCCTCTCCTGCTCTCTCAGTCTTTCTGTCTGGGGGGGGGGTCTCTTTAGTTACAGTGTAAGGTGCAGCTGTATGAGAGGGCAGCTGGCTCACCATGATGGTGGGGAAAGACTACATGCTGGCCATTGTGATTGTCAATTACGAGGGTAGGTGCATTTGGCAGAAGAAACCGAGCTACAGTTGAAATCGGTGACTGCTTGTTGGTGTCTGTGTACATGCGGGTGTTTGCAGGCGGCTGTAGGCGAATGTGTGTCTCCGACAACAGAGGGACGAAGTTTGTGAGGCTGTCGTTCACAATAATATAACTTGTGCATGCTGCAGCTACGGTGGCTGTGTATGTGTGACGATGCCAGTCAGAGAGAATATGTGTATGTGTCAATGTTGTCACCTCCCCTCTCTGATCAACTCTGCTCTCTCTCACGGAGGTGCATGCTAATGTAGGCTATGACGGGCTAACTTTTATGGAGCTCTGCTCTGTCACATTACCATGACCTGCAGGAGCATAGCTGCTGTTATATTCTGTGACTGCATGATAAGACTTTCAGTTCCACATTTGTTTGAGGAGTGGGGGACACCGTAGCCCTCGGCCCGTGCAGCCACAGCCAGGCTGATAATCCTGTCTTTGGTCTCGTTTTCTGTGTTTTTCCACTTTAATCCACATACGGCGTTTCGTGGACTTGGTGCTGCTGCACATTCTGAGTCATCACCCTCCCTCTTTCCTCAGAGCAATCAGGTTCTCTCAGCTGTAGTTTTATTGCTCTGACCTATTTTATCGCTCATTGAAATACTGCAACTCCCAGAAGGCATTGCAAATTTGGTCTGAAGCAGACACTCGAGGCCTGTGGGGACATTTGCTCAGGCAAAGAAAGAAATGACACACAGTTTTTTTTGTGATTTCTATCTCGACATTTCAGTGTGTGTTGTGTATGTGTGTATGGCAAGACTGTATCTCAATTTAAGGCCGTGACTGACCAAGATGTCATGTTGACATATGGTGTGCTGCTGTGGTACAGCCCTGTGGCAGTTTCATCTCCATGGTCAGCAGTTTAGGCTTCTTTGTGCAACCACACACTCACACACACACGCACAAAACTCACACAGACAGACACAAACCATACTAGTTAACTAGTTGCTTAGAGTTATGAGCCTCTTCAAGCCTCTTCTTTAGGATCATCTGTACTCTGGTACTATATCAAGCACTCACAAGAAAGTTGTATTTGAAAAAATCCTTTCTCTGATATATTTCATTTTAATATGACTAATATGTTTTCAACTCACTTATATTGAGTGTTAACTATAAAAAAGTATTTTCCAATCGCTATTTGTTTTCCCTGGAATTTTGTAAATACCTTTGCAAAACCGACAAGTAGTGAGGAGGGGAGGCACCTTATGGTTGTCTTTTTTGCTGATTTATGTGTTTTACTTGGAAGTATACGAGTTGCATTCATGAGTGCAAGCAAATGTAAAAACAACAGTTGTTATCAGTAGAAAGTTCCAGCTTGTTATGCGACAACTGTAGCAGATGCTCATAATCCTTCTCAGCTGTTGATGTCGTCCAGTGTTTGAACAATAGAGGGTTTACAGAGGCCTGTGTTATCCTGTGGCAAAAAAAACAAAGTTTCACTTTCCAAAGATTTGTTTGCCTTATTTTGTTTACGTTTATGTCATTCCATGTGTTTGTTTCCCAGATATCTGGAGTGAGCAGTCGTTCCAGACAGACCCAGATCTTCCTCCAGGATGGAAGAAGATCACAGACATGGCTGGGATCTACTACTGGCACATTCCTACAGGTACCACCCAGTGGGAGAGGCCGGCCACCCGCCAAGCCCCCCCTGGACAACTGGAGTCGTTGACCCTGAGTGGCCACACAGCAACAGTACAACGCAAACAGTCTGTGGGCTCCCTCAGCCCCTCACCCACTCCTGACCTTGAGGTGAGCGAGCAGAGATTTCACTTTTTATCTGTGCTTTAACAGGCAGCTGTTTCCAGACCTTGGTTTCATAATTTTACTCAGTATTGATTTAAAACTGATTTAAATCAGCCCTAGGGCTGAAGTAAAAAATAAATGGCCTTTTTTTAAAAAAAAAAAAGGCATTTGTGAGGGAGTGCTGTTATTCACACACTGACTCTTCAATATTATAAAGTTGATTCATTAAATCTTCACAACAGCCATTTTGGGAAAATAACAAAAGCCAACCTGAAAGAAAACTCTAGCGCCATGACATTTGTTCCACATACTGTAGTGTTTGTGACACCTGTAAAAGACATTTCCTGATCTAAGAAGGAAATCCTGCAGGTGGAAACAATAGTTGAAGATAAAATGTTGGTCATGAGAATTCATTATCAAACAAGATGGCTGCAGATACGTACCATCAGTAAACATTGTTTTCTAACGACCAGACTTTTGTGTGTTTTGTGTGTTTGTAAAAGCAGTCTTGCCAGACAGAGCTTTTCTTCAGGGCATCCACACGTTCAGGCAGCACCACATCTGACAGTTCAGTGGAGCCTCTGTCTTCTCATGAGTCTGCTCTCCCCACGTGTGGATTTGTCAACAGTTGCTACTTTGTGAGTAACAAACACTCCTAGTTCCTGTGTTTAAGTGTCTTTGAACCTTTGCCTGTATTGTTTTCTGTACACAGAATAGACATATACTTAAAGGAAATGTCATTTTTTCTTCCATGTAGAATTTGTATTAATTTACAGTTGTCTGATGTTTTTTTTTTTTTTTTCTTCCATGTAGAATTTGTATTCATTTACATTTGTCTGATGTTTTTTTTTTTTTATTCTTGGGATCATTGAATGGAAGACTGGCATAAATATGCAGCACAGAGCCGGTCATCAATAATCCAGTCTTCTAAAAAAAAGATCTGCAGAAACACAGTTTCAATCAGGCAGAATGATGGAGAGAAATATGGGAGGAAGAGAGAGAGAGAGGGAGAGAGAGGGAGAGGAAAGACACTCATAGAGAGGAGTATGGTGTAGATAAGATATTGATCTGGTGAGAATGGACTGATGTTGACAGATACTGCAGATGTGCCAGAAGCTCCTACTGTCACATTCGTCTGGACCCACCTGACCTGCCGACTGCTGGAGGGCTGTGATGTCTTTTTTTTTTTTAATGATAATTCTCTCCCTGTTTCTGTCTTCAGCCTCGTTCCACTGCTGTACAGGGGGCGTCTGATCAAGAGTCATGCTCTCAGCATCAGGACAATGAGGACAAGGTCAGGGGGCGTTCAACACAACACCCATGTCACTCAGTAAACATTCATTTGAAGATACAGTATATTCTAGTCTAAATGAATATGCACTGTGTTTAGGTTAAAGTGGAGGGAGAGTGTCTGTGTGCATATTTATGTGTAATACTGTGTATTTTACATAGGGTCTGGTCAGTATTTAAACAGTTGAATGTGTTGTTTTGGCTCTGAATGTTTCAGTAAATTTAAAGTAAAAGAGATCTGGTCTGCACCAACATGGACAGCATCACTGAAGTCTGTCTGCATTTTTCACCTACATCAACTACTAGTAGTAAAATTCTTTATAATAATAATATTTTTGTCTTTACAGTTTATCCCAGTCACAGTATTCATTCATATTTACCTCATGTATTCCCAGCATTGGAAGTTGTCAGGTCACAGTGTATAAACAACACATTGCTGTTTAAATACTGCAGTATCTGGTTTGTGTTTTTGACTTACTTTGTATACTTTTACTAATACATATTCAGTTTCCTGTGTGTAGTGAAAGGACAGTCCAGTTGGAGCACTACATGTCAGAAAAAGCATTTTTCATGGAACTGTGAAACATGTTTCTGTTTTGTTCTTGACTGAGTGTGGAGTGAGCCTGTTGGCTAAGAGTCCTGCTCTGTCTTTGTTCTCCCTTCAAACCCCAGACCTCACCACTCTGTGTGTGTGTGTGTTTGTATTTTAACACTGTATATAGAAACAGGTGTGGAGTGATTTTGGCGGAAAGATTGATAGTGAGGTGTGGAAGGCAAGTACAATGCTCTCCGAGTCACCGAGTCTCATACAAGCACACTGTCGCCCCCAGTTTTTGATCGTGTGCATTAACGCATCGTGCCTACAGAAATCCGCTGCCTGTGCAAACGCATGTGTGGCTGCTGCTTGGACATAGATGCACAGTAACCGCACTTTAAACAGCACATGTTTCTTGCCTGATAAATTTGACCATCTGTGTTGTGGCTGCAGAGACAAATACTCATCAGGTTGTTTACTCTCTTTACTCATCTGGCTCAAATATTGTCATCTTTCCTGCTGGCGCAGATTAAGACACACAATTGTGTGCATACGTCGTGTCAGCTTCCTGTCCTTGATGCAGCATGCCTCATTACACATAACACTACAGCGCCTTTTCTTCATTCCAGCAAAGGGGGAAACCTGCCCTCACTTGGATGCATGCTGACATAAACTGTGGGGTCTTATTGTTTACATGTGTTCTCTGCAAATGTTTTGTTTTTGTGTAGCCCCCTCCCCACATGCCCTGTAACCAAAAAATGGAATGTAATGCTGTATTTGGCTCTGAAAACTGTTGTTTCAACAGATTCTTTAAGACTTCAGAATAGCGTTTTTATTCTAACACTGTAACAATAAAAGCTGCCAATTGAATTAATTTTAATTTAAATTAACTTAAATTTCTCTTAGACTTAGTTAAAGAAATTTTAGAGAAGGAAAGAAAGAAACATTTTACAGAAACCTCAGCAAACTCTTATTCAGTTCATAACACACAGTCACTCTCAGAGCCAGCATAAATACAGGCATGTGAAGGGGCATTGAGGTAGGGGCTGTGGGGGTAATTTAGCTTCAGTCTTACACTAATTATACCACCCATGTGCACCAGGATCTACAGGCAGCCACAGTGAACCCTGACCCCAGTCTGAAGGAGTTTGAAGGTGCTACGCTGCGATATGCATCACTCAAGCTAAGGTAAATCTCCAGAACGTACACATGTGAGCACTTACAGCACACTTCTGTCCACTTAGGTTTTTTTCTCTAATCTCGTGTTTAATCTGTGTGAGAGTTCATTCAGGTCAGACAAAGCAGGAAGTAGATTATTTTACACAGGAAATGACTTCCCGGTCAACTATTAGTGTAATGACTGCCGAGCACTGGGAAGGATACACACAGGACATGACACGGTTATTGTTTGGGCCCAAACCTTTACATCGTATTGTTGTTTGCATTTTTTTTTACATCAGATCAGGAAGAAAAGATGAGCAAAGCTTGAAATGTATTACTGTAAAAATCAAAATGTAAACATATCCAGACTGATCATATTATGTCTGCAGAGATGAATTGGAGGTATCATCATGTCAGTATCACTAGACAGAATATGAGTCCAGCTGTTAATCACATGACCGTCAAAGGAGGTTTTATATACAGTATGTAAACTGCCCCGCGTTCTATTTAAGGTTTTAGAGAAAACAATAGTTGCAAGTGTAACAATGTCACAATACTTTATTGTATATGACTATATGACTGTCGACATAAGTTGCCATTAAACCTCCTTCCTTTTCCAGAAACCATCCAGCAGCAGAGGAGGAGTCCAGTACCATCAACAGTGACCCTGAAACAAAGGTACAGTCTTTTTTCTTCAGCTTAATTTGATGTAAAAAAAGTAAATGTTATGTGTTGTCTTTCCACCTCGGTCCATGTCGTTCACCACCTAGAAGCACATATTTGTCCAAAAAAGTCTCACAGCCGCGTCCACCAAAGGTCTGTCTGCCTGTTCTGTTTATGTCGTCGTTCTGTTTGTTTGCTTGTTTTTACGAGGTCATTATGACGTCCGTGTTGCACTGGGGTGGAGAGACTACAGCCCAACATTACCCCCTAGTGTTGAGACCGAATAAGTACAGTTTCTCTTTGCAGGCTGCGGAAACGAGTGTTAGTTTTATTGGAAATTCAAATTTAATTTAGAGTCAAATGGGACGTTTGGGGGAAAAAAAAGTAACCACAGATCGATTTTGAAAAAAAAAAAAGCAACCACAGATCGATTTTTGTGAGAATGTTACTGAGGATAACACAGTGTCAGATGGACTGACTTCCACATCAGAGGTCATTACATTCATTCAAAATGACTAGGATGCTGAAGAGGAAAAAAAAGTCCTTCTCTAATCAGAGTCTTCCTCACAGAGGGCTGAATGGACCTGAAGTGTTGCAGCGCTGAGCTGGATGACGTGTCTCTCCTCGGCCTGTCTTCTGTCTTTTCACCCCTCTGTTTTCTGGTCTCGCAGAAACTCACACTGACACCAAAGTGACACTGTGATGAAAACCAGACACAAAACCCAGACCTACAATCAGAGCATCTGGTCCCGTGGCACACACTGTCTCACACGCACAAACACACACAGACATAAACAGCTCACTGCTGCATCATCAGGAAAAAACATTCTTCATTGAAATTCATTAACTTAAACTTAAAGGTTCATGTCAAATACTAATATATGTATAATATATTTAATGTTTATCTCATCTTTTTGTGATTCAGAAAATATGCATTTGCATCATGCCATTCATTTTTAACAATTCAAGCGTAACCAGGAAAGGTTAATTCATGCCAGTGGTTCCCACAGTGTGAGGCAGACCTGCACAGCAGGTCAAATTAATTTGATTTTTACATTCATGCCAGTGGTTCCCACAGTGACAGCAGGTCAAATTAATTTGATTTTTAATTTTTGTTGTTGTTGTTTTGTTTTTTTTTCTCAGTTAGAGTCAGATGATTTGTTAATTCTGTTTTTAGGAATTACCGTGCTTTAAATAAACTGCAGGGGGCGCTGCAGTTTGTGAAACAGATTTTTACTGTATACCTAAATTAAAAATCACAACTAATTGGGGTTGTTTTAACCCCAGAGGACCAGATGGTGTTGACCACAGGAGGACCTTATGAGGGTGAAGTTATCCTTCTAAATGGGAACGATCTAAAAAAAAAAAAAAATCATCACACACTGAGCTGTTTGTGTTTCCTTGTCTTACCTCTTGACTCCTAATCATTTCCTTAATGATCATTGTGCAGACAAGAACATCTGTTCTCTGTTCTTCCTTTGTCCTTATGTCTCAACATGTCTGGCCTGTTGGGTGGAACCCAAAAATCTGGGGAAAACAAAAGCATATATTAATGTGTGGTGTGAAGTACATGGCAGCTACAGTTACACCTTCTCCTCTCTCCTCCCGGTCTTCGTCTCCTTCAGTGTTTTGCCGTGCGCTCTCTTGGATGGGTGGAGATGGCCGAGGACGACCTGGCTCCAGGGAAGAGCAGTGTCGCTGTGAACAACTGCATCAGGCAGCTGTCCTACTGCAAGAATGACATCAGAGACACGGTTGGCATCTGGGGAGAGGTGAGAGAGCAGGAGTTGTGGAGCAGAATGTAGACTGGACAGGATCTGGAGTGAAAGGATTTAAAAGAACTCAGGACTGAACATTTTTTACTTGTCAGTAGCCAGAGCAACAATCTCCTAAAATGTATGTCAGGAAAGAAGGGAAGGGAAAAGAGGGCAAAGTCCTTACCCAGAGTGGTGGTGTTAAATGTGAAGTGACAAGAACAGAGAAAGGCACAACCTTATTTCTATTTCCAGTATCCTCTCGTCTCTTGCCCCCACTTTTGAAAGTATAATAATTTATTTATAGGCCTTTGAAGGCTAAGGACACACGCGCACACACATCTTTTCTCACAATGTTATACACATAAATATAAATATATACAGTTCATTTAATACAAGCATGAAAAAGCTCCTGACCTTTAAAGGATTTTGTATTTTCTAATATTTTCAAGAACCAAATATGAACATGAATGAGTGTGTGTGTTTGTGTGTTTTTGTGTGTGCTTTAAATATAAAGACATGTATCTGGTACTGGAAAATAATATGCTGAACCTAGTTGACCCCATGGACCGCAGCGTGCTTCATTCTCAGCCCATTGCAAGTATCAGAGTCTGGGGCGTTGGCCGAGACAATGGCAGGTTAGTCTTCACAGCGCGGCGGTTGTTTTTTTTTTTAAATACGATGTTTTGTTGTTCTTTTTGCGCGTACAGTCCCTTTAATATATATTTTTTTTCCACTCTGAACGCTCACCATCATATGTCACTATTTCTCCCACACCGGACCCTTAGGTTTTGAATTATTTATGTATTAGATCACTGACTGGTGTAAATTAAGTCAATGATGCATCACACAAAAGGTCAGGGTAGCAACAGCAGATGGGTAGTGTGGCGGCCCGACATCAGAGAAGAGTAAATGATTGATGACGAAGGGATGCTATTGAAAGATTAATTCATCAGGACAAAAGCAAGCCTGAGCGGGAGAACGGCCTCTTCTTTCACTTCCCATCCAGCATTATCTCACTTTCACCTCAGCTTAGCTCAGCACATCCAGGTTCTTCAAAGGGAAATGTACACACAGCAGTAAAATGTCACTCTGCTGGGCTGCTGTCATGCTTCACACCTTTCACAGTTGGAATCATAAATGGTAATAAAAAATAAATAAAAAAAGGTTAGTGTAAAGATTGGAAGTATTCTAAACGTGTTGTTCCCTGGCCACCAGTGGAGGGCGCCCTGCACTGCTGCAGGACATATAATGGGATCCTCAAAGTAGGTTATGAGGCAGAGCCAGGTGATGTGGACTGGACTGGTGGGTAGAGGAAACTGCTGTAGAATGGGGGCTCACACACACACACACACACACACACACCAGTGCACTGAGGAGAGGATGCAGTGTTAAAGCCGTTGGTATGCAGACCTGCAGGGATGTGTTCCCTCATCTGTCATTCACTCAAAAACAAATACATGCAGTGTTGTCTCTGAACCTGGTCTCACTGTTCTGTCTGAGTAATGTGTATTTTATCAGTGTGTAACCTTTACTTCTACAATCTGCATTTATCCGGAAAGTGAGAGCACGGGGAATACCGAAGCTGCAGCACAGGGAAGAGAAGGAGGAGGAGGAGGAGGAGGAGCAGGGAAAAGCAGAAAAACGGTGGGATGAGGGAGGGGGACATCGAGAATGAAAGGGAGAGGCATGGTTGGTTCTCCGAGAGTGTGGAGCAGACAGGTTGAGGAGTGTGTTCCTGTGTGCCAAATGTAGAAGAACAGATTGTGTACGTGTCAGAAGACGCTCCACGTTGAGCAGCGTTCATCTGCCGGGGCAGAGAGAGAGAAAAAAAATCCTGTGTGAGTACGTTTCAGTATTTTTGTTCCTCATTCTGGAACCTCGCTTGTGTTTTTTTCTTTCTTAAAACGGGGAAACGTGAAAACGAAGGATTCGTGAATGAGATTGATGAGGCTGTGGTGGGAGGTGCTGCTGAGCAGGTAGTTTGCAGCTACCCTGAGATGCGTGTGTGCGTGAGGGAAAAACTTAGATGTGTGTTTATTTATGATGGTTTGCCCAAGAGAAAACAAATAGAATGATGAAGAATTTGTTGCCAACAGTGTGAGTGTTTCAGGGGAGGAGAAAAGGTCGTTTGAACTCAGAGAAGCAGTGAAGAGTCACAGCAGTTCAGCAGCAGCAGCCTGTAGTTGTAAAACATTTCTGTCGTCACGTTGATGTGCTGCCAAAATGAGTTTCTTTTTTGCCGTTGTTATTGAACTGTTTTGATTGTTCATGCATCAAAGTAATTAAAAAATACTGCAACTTCACGTTCATAATATTGTTATTGAAATTGAGTTACAGATCTGCGACGGTCGACGTCAACTGGGTCTTAATATTCAGTAGAGCTGCAGTGATTTTTGACGGAAATCAATTGTTACTCAACCAAACAACCAATCAATTAATCATGAAAAGAAAACAAATCATGGTGTCATATTGCTGTCATTCTCCTCTCTGGGTTGCACAGCTTTGTGGATCCAGCTGGGCCACAGGGGGCAGTGGTCTCCCCATGAGTCACACAACTCATTAGCACTTTACACATCACAGATTAGATATTCCATGAGCCTGCTTGACATTTTGAGTGCAGCCACCTGCTGATAAGATCACATCCTGGATGAGGTATCACTCGCGCGTCCTTTTCTTTTTTTTTTCTCTCTGCAGCTTTTATCTTCTCCGTTACCATTTTATTTCTGCTCACTTTTAAACTTTAGCGGTTTCAGGCTCAGATTTGTTTAGGGAAACATTGCTAACCCTCAGCTCTTAAAAGGACGATGCACCTAAAGAATAAACAACGCGACTATTCCTTTTCTCTATTCCTCTTTGTTTCCAATGTCGTTCCTTTCCACACTTTACAAATTTGACTCCAAGGTTAACTATGCATTAAACCTCCCTGCAGGGCCGCTGTGACCTGACTGACGGCAATTTAATTCACATGCACGTGTACTTAAGGAAACGGTCAATGAAATCAATATGGCAGGTTATTTCTTTAATGTATGTCAATGGGTCAGCATGGCCCTTCTCTGCATTTGGGGTTTGAATTTTTTTTTTTTTCATTTATTCCACTAACTCTGCCTTTCTTCCCTTTGCTTCCTCGGACTCAGAGAGAGGTAACATTTTCTCCTGTCTTTGTTCATTCTAACAGTGGCTGAAGTCCTGTATTACATATGCACTCTGTTAGAGATGAACTCAATGAAGGTCATTCTCTCTGTGTAGTGAAAACTTCTTGTTTATGGTCTGTGCTCTGAACAACCAAACTTACACCAGCAATAAACCAAACCAGCACCAGCGTTTGTCTTGCAAAAGAAAATAAAGTCATCCAGAAAAACCTTCTTCCATTATTCACCGTGGTCACTCTCGTTTTCCCGGTTTTCTCAGGGACTTTGCGTATGTGGCCAGGGATAAAAACACCCGGATCCTGAAATGTCATGTGTTCCGCTGTGACACTCCAGCCAAAGCCATCGCCACAAGCCTGCATGAGATCTGCTCCCGGGTGAGTGTTTGAGCCGGAAGACGGAGGATGTGAACCTGAGGCCACAGTTGACTCAGAATTAATGTTAATGTGATTTTCTGGAAGATTTTCTCTGTAGTTAATTGAAAAATGGCAGGAGGTAAAACATGCTTCTGATTATTGCCCTGATATTTCCAATAGCATGTCTTAAGGGTGAGATGACTAAAGAGTTAGAATATAATTTCTCTGTTGTCTGTTTTATGTGTGATTCTCTCTTAATCTTTTCCTTTTTCTCGTCCTCCAGATAATGACAGAGAGAAAGAATGCCAAAGCCATGGCAGGAGGCTCCCTCCAGAGCAGGATGCAGGCAGGACTAGATCTTCCTTTACAAGGTAGGCTTCGCTTATATATTAAGTCATATATAATTCATATTATATATATAGTAGTAATTAGTAGTTAGTAACAAGTTATCAATCGTGCTGTTTTACATTTATCCTAATTATAACAAATTAGCATCAATAGCCTGAAGACAGTTTGATAAATATTCATAAAAATTATTAAAGATGATTTATGTCTTTTTGACAGTGAGATTTTAATTAATATTTTTTTAATTGTCTTTAAACTGGGTGGTAAACGTGTTCTGGCATTTAGTTGTCATTCTGCCAAAAAAAAAAAAACAAAACAAAGGATGAGGATTTTATTTAATTATTTGTTTATTTAAATTAGAGCCTAATATATTGACGTCATATATGCAGCAGCCTCCTGCCTGGTCTGAGGTTCTGTGTTTTTACACTGACTTCACAGAATTCTCATCTTTCTTGTATCTTCAGGAGGAAAAAAACATCACTGCAGATGATTAAATATGTATTGTGTTTTTGTTTTCAGTCCATACTGGGCTTTTCGTAAACTTCCTCCTTGTCACTTTGTCAAAGGAACAGAAGAAAAACACTGCTTTTTATTATTTATATCAACAGGGTAAAGGGGAATGTTAAAAGAAAATTTAATTCTGTTTTTAAGTGAGTATAAATGAATTCACACATCATGTTCATCTTTCCTTGGGGAATGATGCTAAGAACCTGCTCACTTATCAAGATAAAAAGCAGTGAACCGTATTATAAATGAGTGAGTGTTTTAGTTTGTAGTCAACTATTCAGTCTCTGCCTTCTCCCCAGCAGAGTTTCCCACACCAAAGACGGAGCTGGTTCAGAAGTTCCAGGTCCTCTACCTCGGCATGATGCCTGTGGCCAGGCCAATAGGTCAGTGGACACACAGTCACACTGATGCCGTTCAGAACTCATCCTTATTAAATAACAGAACTGTCCTCTTGTTTAGGTATGGATATACTGAACGGAGCCATCGAGAGTCTGATTGGTTCCTCCAACAGAGAAGACTGGACTCCAGTGGCTCTGAATGTGGCCGATGCTACTGTCACCATCAGCAAAGACAAGGTCAGACTCACTCGTACTGACAGCTGCGTTTTCCCTAAATTGTTCTTCATCAACACAAATGTTGATGTTGCACAAACTGAAACAGCCATAAACAGACTGTTGTCACATTAGTGTAACTGTTTATTGATGTAAACAGAGACAACTCCACCAGACAACTGACTTCTGTCAGTGTTCACCACCGTCTCTTTGTTTGAACTGTTGGATTTATACATACGGTGAAAACAAAGTGACACATTTCACTGACAGATGTTAAAATCTGCCACTGAGTGGATAAATAAATAACTGTTCATGTTTCGCTGCTGTTCCACCGTGCAGATGACTTCAAAGAACCTCCTTCTCCTCTAGGATTTAAATTAGTGATGGATTTCAGCTTGAGCCTGAAGCGATTTACAACACTGTTGCCATGGATCTGTTTGTTATTAGACTCTGTTTATTCATATAATAAAAAAAGAATTGACTGACATCGAACTGACAACGTTTGATTTCTGATGGTCGACCAGGACGAAGCTGAAGTGCTGGTGGAGTGTCGCGTCCGCTTCTTGTCGTTCATGGGTGTGGGACGGGATGTCCACACGTTTGCCTTCATCATGGACATCGGCAGCCAACACTTTGACTGTCATGTCTTCTGGTGTGACCCCAACGCTGGAAATGTGTCTGAGGCCGTTCAGGCTGCTTGTATGGTGAGTCTGTGGAAACCAGCTCCACTAGTACTGAGTCTGACTGTACTACAGCCTCAGCCTGGTGTCAGTCTGACTGTACTACAGCCTCAGCCTGGTGTCAGTCTGACTGTACTACAGCCTCAGCCTGGTGTCAGTCTGACTGTACTACAGCCTCAGCCTGGTGTCAGTCTGACTGTACTGCAGCCTCAGCCTGGTGTCAGTCTGACTGTACTACAGTCAGTTCAAGACTCCTGTTGTGGTAAATGACAGCGGACCTGTAATAATCCTAGTTTTGTCATAGTGATGATGTCATCAACCCTGTTTGTTCCTCTGCTCCTCATTTATAGTCTAGTTTGTCTTATTATTGTCTTTGTTTTATTATATTGAGTTTTCACTCAAAGCTTTTTTCCGGTGCTTTAAAAATTTTTACCACCAGGAGGTCGTTCACTCAGATGTTTGATAAGCTCTATACTCTATGAACTCAGATGTTTGAGATGAAATCAAGGTTGTTGTTGTTTTTTTTTTTTTAGAAAAACTCTTTAAAGGCATTAACTATCGCTGTTGATTCCCACTGATCAGTGGAGGCTTTCCTTTGTCTGTGTGTGACTCACAAAACATAGGTCCAATGCTGGTGAAAATATTGATCCATATTATGATCTCACACACACACACACACACACACACACACACACAGTAAAACTGACCCACGCTGACAGGAATCATCAGTCATTAATATTGATCACAGTGAGACGACTGCACCCAAACCCACCCTAGCTTTGACACTCTCTCTCTCTCTCTCTCTCTCTGTCTGTCTGTTGTCTCTCTCTCTCAGCTGCGGTATCAGAAGTGTTTGGTGGCTCGTCCTCCTTCTCAGAAGGCCAGCGGCTCGTCACCTCCTGGCGACTCGGTGTCCCGTCGGGTGTCCACCAGTGTGAAGAGAGGAGTCCTGTCGCTCATCGACACCCTCAAACAGAAGAAGCCCGTCACTGAGTCGCCGCAGTAACCGCGGTAAAACACTGACATCAACCGCCCGCCACAGCTCACCCCCCCATCCCCTCCCTTTGTCACCATGGTAATAAACTGCATCGTTGCCGCAACCTGAACAACAGCAACAGTCTACGGTTGGAGGGAAACCCCTCAACACTTCCTTCACCTCCAGGGTTTTCACACCTGTCCAGCAGCGACTCATGTTGAGCAGCGTAAAAACCCAGAAGAACGAGCGTGAGAACCATCGAACGGAGGTTGATGAAGACGTTGATGTGCACAGACGTCGCTCTCAGCTTCGATGAGGAGTGAGGAAGAAGAGTGCTCTTCAAAAAAAAAAAGGAAAAAAAGATGAGGACGCTCCATCGCTTCCCAAACCACTGACTCCTTCATGCTGTGACTGTAGCTGTGTCCGTGTCTGTGTCTGTGCTGCCAGCATGACATCACACACCTGGCCTCACTGCCCTCTCTGTCCTGTCTGTCTGCTGGCTTTTTTTCTTCTGTCTTTCTTCTTCTTCTTTGTTTTTTTACAGTAGGCCGTAACAGAAGGGGAATGGAGCGAGCACATGATGGGATTCTCTTATCCGCCTGTAGTGGACAGTAGAGAGAGAGTGACACTGCTGACCCTGCATGGACTTTCATAGAAGAAGTGAATCACTCTGGTGACAGTGTGAAAACTCTAATGCTGCTGGCCGAAAGTGAAGTGGTGAGAAAACGTCTTCTTATCGTATCGTTTTGCCTCAAACATACAAGAATCAGCCGAGTCTGTCCGAACGATCGGTGACCTTTCACCTGAAAAAAAAAAACCAACAGAGGATGAGGAGACACAGAGATGAAGACTCGATGAACAGTGTGTCCTGTGCTGTCGTGTCGTCTGGTGAACAGCGTCTGAGACGTCAGCCTGCTGCCACTTCTCTTTGATCCACAGTCTGGAGGAAATTGGACCTGGAACCCCACCTGGGTGTTGCTTCTCTGAGACGTCATGTCCACTAATAAAGTGGGCTCTGCCACAGGAGGAAAAGCAGAACAGGAGGAATGTGCTGTTTTTCTACCTGACTCTGGTTCCTGACGGAGTTCTCTGAAACTGTGAGCAGGTGAGATGAAGGAAACCTTTCATCTCCAGACTTTTCACCTCGTCAGACGTGTCGACTCGGATCAGCAGGTCCTTCCTGGGCTGATGATGATCCGTCTCCAGGTTTCTGTTCACTTGAATGCCTTCTATTTAGTTTTTTTATTTGATTGCCTGTTCAGTTACTGAATGGATTCTTTCAACAGGATCAAATCAGGTCTTTCTGACACAGATCTAATCTGCTCACTGTCGAGCTTCCGGTTTATTCTGAGGTCTCTCCGTTAATGCCTGTCAGGCTTCAGCGCTCTTCACATCAACAACAGCTTAAACAGCTGAAAATGAAAACACAGTCTGAGTCGAGGTCCAAACAGGAATCACTTTTATTAATTATATGTTGACGATGCTTTAAACAGAAATATTTGAATTAAACCGTCAGCGACAATGACACAAAAAACACACTGCGTTTACCTCTCGAGGCACGACAAATATTTGATTTTATTAAATTAGTCATCATCCAGTCCAACATGTGGGAATGTGAAAGCCCCAAAATCTTGACAAACTACATTTCAAATGTATTCAACTAACACAAAGTAACGTCAAATTATATCGATAACATTTGAAAACAAAGTTCAAAAAGAGAAAACAAAAGTGCAGTTGCGACATCATCACTTGAAAATTGGACCACTGCGTTTAACCCATTCAGGTTATGGGAGCCCATACTATAGACTTTAATTTTAAGACAATTTTCCCACAATCCTCTTTTCTCTTGTCTGTCTTCGGCCACTTTTACTCTAATGGTCTCTGGTTATGGACCCTGGTCTGGAGGTCAAAGGTTCTGTCGGGGTTTAGATGATGTGAGAGCTCCGTCTTATATTGTTTTACAGATTGTTCAGATACAGTGTTGAGGAGGAGAAGCCTGACAGATGGAATGACAGGGATGTAGTAAAATGCCGGAGAGTTCCAACTAAAATCTGCCTTCACAGTGAACACCGTGTAATGAAAAACAAATGAAGGAACCAGGAAAGTCGTGGAGGTTCTATAGGACAAACGCAGACACATCGCTTTCTCTTTGTCACGTACAAATGTGAACGACATGACGGCCATTTCTCGTGGACGTATTTCCTCTGCTCACCGTAACGTCTGCCATTATTCATCGTTATAAGCTATGTTTTTTTAACTATTATTATTATTATTATTATTATTCATTTTTGAATGTTTTCTATCGCTTTTGTTTAAATGAAATGCGTTTTTCTTTCACCAAATGGCCAAAGTGTAAAATACAGATATACATTGTTGTAAATATGAAAAATAACAGAGCAAATAATGAGAGCGAGTCGGGAGTTTGGAAGGTTTTCACCGTTGTCCATTAGGTTGATAGTGAATTTAACTGAGCAATTATCTATGCATTCTTTCGATCTCCACAAAGGGAAAGTCCTGACAGCCTTGCATGCCCTGGGACGGTTGAGAGAGCGACTGTATGTACGTAACAGAAATATTTTTATTTTATTTATTCTATTTTATAAAGGTATATAACTGATTTTATTAGTTGGGGCAAGTGAAGTCTCATGACTCGGTGTTCGTCGTCTCAGTCCCTGGTGAAACCACAACGCTACAACAAGCTTCGCTTCGCAGCAAACTGCAAGAAAAAGGAACAAAATCTCCACTCAGAGCTGGAGGTCCACTGCTGCAGGAGGGAGGAAGGAGGTGAGGATGATGATGATGAGGAGGAGGACAGAAGTGGACCTTCAGCGTCTCTGACGAGTTCACACATAAACACACACAGCTCACACTCCAGTTCCCACAAATGGATGTGTCGGCTTCTGTTTGCCACTCACGGGTTTGTACACTTTACCAATGTAACCAATTGTGAGAATAAACAGCATTATAAAACACACTTGACTTCTGGGTATCTGTCTGTGTGTGTGTGTGTGGGACTTCTGGGTATCTGTCAGTGTGTGTGTGTGTGTGCGTGTGTGTGCGCGCGCACTGGAGCAGCTGCGGATACTGTTTTATTGAGTCGTAATTTTTAAATACTCGTTTGGTCTGGAGGAGCTGCCGCTGGTTTGAGCAGAAGCATCCGGAAACATTTCAGGATCAAAGATGTAAATGATGGAGAAAGTTTTTTTTTTTTTTTCTTTAACAGGAAGTCTGTTTCTGGGTGACTGTACTTACTAACGTGATACTAACATGCTGATTTATGACCTGAAATAACACGTGTGTGAAGAGTTCAAAGAGTCGACGATTATTCTAATGTTCTGTAAAAGTTGGAGCCTGAAAATCTTAAAAAATGGAATTGGGATTTGTTTAATTATTTTTTAACATTAATTATTGATGTGATGTATTTCCAATCAATTCTGTTATTATGGAATTTAACTTCATGTTAAGAGAAATATTCACATATCAGCTGAGTTGTTGCTTTAAAAGAATACTTCAGCACAGTTCCTTTATTTATTTTTTGCTTATTTGACCCTTTCCCCTCTGTTTTCCTCAGCAGCCTAATAAGTCTGCAGCCGTTCCATTGGTTCAGTGTCTGACGAAGACACAAACTGAAAGGGCAAATGCATTTTTCTAGATGCTGCATCAGACATTTGCAATTTTTTTTCTTTTGTTATTTGTCTTTTTCATCATTTCTCATGGAAGACACAACAAACTTTCAGATTCTCACCTTTGGTCCAGGAAACCCTATGAAAGCCTGTGTGTTTTTGTCAATTTCCTGTACATGTGGATGTTTGAGGTGAATTTGAACAAATACTGGAAGATAAAGGTATTCTGTAGTTGAACCATAACATGGAGGAAGGGCCTTTCAAAATCAGTATCTGTCTTCCATAGTTCTGTGTGTGTGTAACTATGGAATTAATAATTCCATAGTTACAGTATTTGTTTTTCCGTACCAGGAATATATAGAAAAAAACATTTGTGTCGTATTTGGGAATGAAAACTGACCTGGATTTTTCGTGATTATGGTTGATTAAGTTTGTGATTAATCATGATTAATCCTCAGCTTCCCTGTGATTGATCTGAACTAAAATGTGAACTGATTGACAGCTCTACATCAGTCTGCTCCGTAGGTGAACACGCTTGGACAGGCAGACCTGGGAACGTTGGAGGTTGTTTTGAAAGGCGTCCACTTATAGACTACTTTCCGGACAGTGCGATGGTTTTACTGCACTCGTTTTATATCCTTTACTGGACTCATAAAATGCTAAGATCTTCTTCCTGAAGGCCTCGGAGCTCCTTGGATCTGACATGGTGTCCACTGTCTGATGTTTAACTGGGGACGTCTCCTTCATGATGCTCACTAACACTGTTATAATCACCAGACCTGTGTAGGATTTGAAGCATGACATTTTTCATGAAGTAGTTATTCTTAAATATTTCCATGTTTATTCAGGCAGGAGGGCGTGTTGAAGGGGCTGACGTGTTCGCAGGCTGACGTTGTGAAGTAGACGAACCAGAACTGGAGGACGGGCGGGAAATTGGTGGAAGGACATAATCTGACACTTGGTCAGGTCTACACAGGTCAGTCTTAGTCTTTAGTGGCCGTGTGGGTTTATTCCCAATAGTCTGTGTGCAGGCGGCGGGGGCAGTGGACGGAGCAGCTCGAGCAGGTGACGGATGTTTGGCTGCGGTCGACGGAGCGCTGTGGGCAGTCTGCTGATTTTCACTTATTCTATGGGCCAGGGCTGTGATTGGGGACAGGTCTTTGGATGGTTGTTCTGAGGACATCAACGTCAGCGTTAGACGAGGTATTCGTCTTTTTTTGCTCTTCGTCAGACGCCTGCTGTGATGTGATTGGTTGGCCTTGGTGCCTGCTTTCTTCTTCTGGCCGGTAGCATCATTCTTGGGGTCTTTGCTGGTTTGCTTCCCTCGTCTTTTGACCTTTCGCTTGCGTCCTTTTGACGTTTTCTTCTGTTCCTCCTCTTTCTCAGCCTCCTCTTCCTCCGCCTGGCTCTCCTCTTCCTTGTCACTCTTCGTCAGGTCTCCCTCACCCTCTACAGGTGCTGTTGGATCCTGGTTTGGAGATGGAGGTCTGGGATCCTTCTTGCTTTTGGCTTTTTTGCCAGGTTTTAATTGTTCAGGCAATATCCCTCCCAGGAGGCCTTTGGCTGCTGCCCTCGCTAGCACATCCTGGACCGTCTCTACCTTCGTGGGGTCTGCCTAAAGAGTGAAGGGAGAAAAACATATTAAAAAAACAAAACAAAATAAAATAAAAGGTCTCCAGGGAAACTGTTCTGTTAGGGAGTGCAGGGCTGTAGAACTGCAGCTGTGAAATGACCCTGCAGAGGAGGGAGATGATCACGGGGGGAGAGGGGGAGTGGCTTTTTACATCCCCACAGAGCAAAGTGTCTTATAGCCTATAATGTACTGGAAGAGGCAACACACAGGGTTTTATAGCCGTGCTCTCAGCTCTGGCAGCCTCCGTGTGCAATGTACGCGAAAACGCAAGTAGTAAATTTAACACCTGTTTTTGTTCAAAGTGATTTGTGCTAACGCTAATCACAGATTATTGTCTTGTACTGATCTAAACAAACAGATTTTACAATCAATGACTCCTCTTGACCTTTAACCCAGAGGTCTGTAACCTGTGGGTCCAGAGCCACATGCTGGTCCTCGGCCTCTGTGGCATTTTAACGTGTTGTGATGTCATCGTTACATCAAGTCATCATTACTATAAAATCAAACTGATCAGAACACATGGACGATCGCAGTGTATCCTACACACTGCTGCTGTTAATGCGTTAACCAGGGGTTCATGACCTTTTTTGGCTTGTGACCCCATTTGACCTCACAAATTTCTGATGACCTCAGAGACGTGGTTTGTCACACTACAGAGTGACAGTGAGAGGATACAGTTGTTTGAGTGTGTGATTTTTGTGAACTGAATGAATTGATAAAGTTGTGTCTGGGGGTGTTGGTGTGTGTGGAGCCCAGGTCTGACTCTGACTGGTGTGAGCAGCAGTGGAGGAGCGTCACTGGACCTGTTCTCAGCAACTGTCAGTTTAATTATACTCTACAATTCAGATTTTAAATTAACTCACTGTCATTCTGGTTTGCAGGATCTGTCACACACACACACACACACACACACTCACACACACACACACTGGCACAGGCCCCTCTCTGCAGCATTTTCAGAGCTGCAGGGAATCAGAGGAGCAGCAGCTCATTTCCTTCTGTTGCATTTTTCTTCTTTTATGAGTGGAGAAAGGAGGGAGTTAAACCAGGGGTAAACAGAAAGAGTTGATGCAACAAGACTGGGGCGGGGGGGGAGGGGGGGGCAGTTAGAAAAGGGGGGGCTGCAGTGTAAGAACCCCTGAGAAAATGATCATTTATCTGTGCTTTACAGTCACTCATATATCATACCAAAGTTGTTTTTTTACGGCGTATTGGAATAATGCTGCAGTCGTTGAGGGGGGAGGGAAAGTGTGTGTGTGTGTGTAAGAGGGAGAGAGAGAGAGAGTAGTGAGCCGTGCGTTCAGAGGAGCAGAGCTGTCTGACCTCCCAGCAGACAGAAAGTAAAGGAGTGCAGCCTCAGCACTGCTGGAAGGTCTTGTCGCAAAGCAGTCACACACTCACACTCGTATTCACACTCACACACACACACACACACACACACACACCGACACACACCGACATACTACAGGGGCCCTGTTCCCCATCAGTCTCAAACGCTCTGCCTTCTGCTCTCTCACCTGTCTGGACAGCCGGGCCACGAAGCAGCCGTTGGTGAACCGCGACGGTCCGAGCCTGAAGAACTTGGAGTCTGTTTTGTCCTCCAGCTGGGAATCATCAGGGAAAACTGGACCGTTGACCCTAAGAGGTGCAGAGAGATGGACTCTCATTCAGAGATATAGAAACAGACTGTTAGCATCACGTCAGTGAGTTCAGTGAGTTGAACATGTTTCAGCTTCTTAGCATGAGGATGATGCCTTTGGCTCAGCGCCCTCCTGTTTTCCGGGGCAGTAATAACCTCCTAAATCATGTCAGACTGGCTGCTGCCAAAACGGTTCATACAGAGTCAGAGATTGGTGGGCGCTCTGGGCACGATGCCTTTGACATTTAAAAAAAAAAGTAATGGCAGTGGCTTTTAATGTGCCTATAAAACAGACTGTGGTCTTTTTCAAACTCTCAGTGAACACCGTCCAGCCACACAGCACAGAGCCGTGTCTCTGCAGGGGTCAGCTTTATTTAAAATGTAGGTTTTATTTCAATGCTGTAGAAATTATAGCTGTGAAGGTAAAGAACATTTATAATTGAATTATTGACAATGTACCTTTAGATGTCTTCTAACTTTACCAACAAGTTAAAAAACAAATAGAATTACACTCAAACAAATTCACTTGAATAATAAGGAGAACACCAGAGAAGATAACACGACTTTAACGAAGATATTTTACCCTGAGTGAAATATTACCCTGACCAAAGGTCCACACTGTTGTGTCCTCCGACTGTAGTTTCTGTTCAATACTAAATAAACAAGTCTTTTATTTTTACGCTGACTGTCATGGACTGTAAAAGCGTCTGATATCAGTGTTAGGAACAGAGATGTTACAGCAGCTGGTAAACTTTTATTTGGAATCATGTTCTCCAGACAGAGCTGGTGAATTATTATTATGGAGTAGAATTAGTTCTGCATGGAGGGAACACAACAGTAAACTCTACGTGTGTGTGTGTGTGTGTGTGTGTCTGTGTGTGTGTTACCTGAAGGGCAGCAGTTTGGGGTGAGTGTGTGTTTTTTCCAACACTCTTTTCACCAGCTGTTCATTCTCCTCTGGATAAACTGAGCGTGTGCAGTAGACCACTGTCTGGACCTTGGAGACTGAGAGACAACACTAGGATGGATGGATGGATGGATGGATGGATGGATGGATGAATGAATTCATGTATTAATTCAGTGTTACCACCATACTAAATCCTATATACTTTGATCACCTTTATATTGCATATATTATTCAAGATATTATTTGTGTGTGTGTGTGTGTGTGTGTGTGCGAGGATGGTCTTACACTCACAGGTCAGAGCGTGTGCTAACAGTCTTGACTGTTGGCTGGACATTGTGTGAATTTTGTGCTTGGACACCTGACCATGAGACAAGTCTGGTAGAAGATCCCAGTCTGTGAAAATATTGAGGAAATGATCAGATGTGACGAGTCAAGTTTGGATTGGTTGAATTTCTTTTCCCTCTGCCAGTGATTTCCATTTTTAGGACTTGTTTTTCTTACAGGTTTCTAACCTACAGTAGTTTATATCTATATAATATAATAACTATGATAATTTGTATCAGAAAACTGAACCTCAGGAACGAGGTACAGTATGAACGACATACAGTCATGGTGGAGGCGGACATTCATTCTTAAATATATCCTCTGATGTCGAAACAGGTTCAGGGTTTGACAACGTACCTCCATGTTCACTGTGTATGACGGGCACAGGGTCGTTGAGGGCAGAGGACGAACACTGAGGCAGCACCACGACGACCTTCACACGCTGCAGGGCCGTGTCCCCCTCGCTCAACCCGCAGAAAGCTTCAGACAGGATTCTCACATCTGCAGCACAAGAGTGACAGTCTGTCAGCAGCAGCAGCAGCAGCAGCAGAGTCGGTCTGTCTCCTCGTCACTCACTGGAGACGCTCATGTCTTTGAGCCGTTCCTGAATCTCTTCTAACTGTGAGGCCGTATGATCAGCGCCGCACATCAGAGCTCGGGCCGAACGAGCAGACGCCACAACGGCCACGTGAGCCACGGTCACGGGTGAGAAAGACCCAACAACCAGGACATCGTTGTGCTCAAACAGCAGGGGGCGTAACGCACTCACTGCCAAGCATATACTCCTGTCCTGAATTGAGACAAACTCCAAATAAGTTTGTAATTATTGGTAATCAGTACTTCACAGTGTGAAGTACTGCAAAGATTCTTCAGGGTGTAGCTCTCCACCTGCTGTGATTCTTCAGGGTGTAGCTCTCCACCTGTATGTTCAGTACATGTTCGCCGGTGAGGCTGCTGTCCTGGAGCCGAGGACGAAGCTGCTGGGAGAAGACAAGTGTGTCTGGACAGAGGACGTCTCTGCAGAAGCTCCGGTCGTCAAGATCAACGACGTCTTTCTTTTCGCACAAACCATCCCTGTGCAGGGCATCGCACACCTCCTCCACACTGCAGGAGACAGAGACGTGTGGTCACCTGAAGAACCACACCCACCCTGGTCTGTTCTTCCTCTTCTTTCATCACATTAACAAAAACAGTTCAGCCAGGATGCATCAGTGAGCTCCTCGCTGTCTGCCCTTGGCAGAGGAGTTCCAAACTCCACGTTTCACTCCACTGAACTTCACCCACCATTAGCCTCACGCTGCAGCACCAGGACGTCCTGTGCATCATGAAATCCCAGGAGAATAACGTCCTAAAATAGACCTGAAGGGTCTTCAGTGTGATGCAACAGGAAAGTATTGACGACAAAGTGTTTTTGACATGGGTTTTTGACATGTCTGAATAAAAGGACGACTGCGTACTCCTACCTCATCTTCAGAGTATTCACCCATGCATAGATCGGCAGGCGTTTTGCAAAGTGCTGTTTATTCCTCACAGAATCAGAGAGAAAACAGGAAACACTCTGCAGATTCAGTTTCACCCTGCAGCGAGCCAGAGATGCTGCCAGTTTGGTCTTACACCTGAGGAAGAAAAATAAAAATAAATGTTGCACACTCAAAAAAAAAAAAAATTGGTCTGGTGGACCCAGAGATACTTGTCAGTTCATTTCTCCTCCTGGAAGACCTTGACAAACGTATTCATTATTAATTAATTTCAAGGTTTTAATGTAGCAAATAATGTTCACATTATTTGCTACAGTAAAACCTTGCTGCTTTCATTATGTTTGGAGGAGAAGTCTAATTACACTGATTCACCATGGAGTCCAGCAAACATGATGTTACACTAGGTTTATCATATTTTAGCATAATGGTTTAAAACTGACTTAAAATATTATTATTATTTAAGAAAGTCAAGATGATAAATCATATCGTTGAACCTTTGAGTTTGAGCACACACACACACACACACACACACACACACACCTGTGCAGACTGCTCTCCAGCTCCCTCACTTCCTGTACGGGCTGCTCGTGTGGTGATCGTTCCTGCAGCACGAAGCTTCTGTCCTGGAGGTCCCACAGCATCACCATCACCAACGGCAACAGGTCAGCTGACTGCAGAACAACACACACATCAAAGGTCATTAGTATATTAGAAATATTCATTTTTTCACTTTGATTTTCACTCATGTCATAATAATCTGTTTACAGTTTCCATTCCATGACCTTGTTGGATTTTGACCTGCTTTTCTTTTAAGCTACTAAAAGTTGACTGTGTTTCTTCACCTTTGACATAAAACTCTTTGTAACCAACTCAGAACAGACACTTTTAGAAGTTGCCAGTAAAACCCAGCGCCTGTTGTGCTTGGAAACAGCTCGTAATGAGAGCCGTGAAACGGATTCAGAATATTGAAGTTATGGGCTGTAAAATCAAAGGCCCTAAAATATTAAAAGGCTCTGCAGAGCTGCAGGGAGCTGCAGAGCCGCGGTGTGATCCTTAATGTGTCACCTCTCATATGGAGCCAGTCACATTATTGAACGGAATACTGACGGTGATCAAACATCGAGCTGAGACCGTGATGATGTACAGCAGCTGACTGTGGCTGTGTGACTAAGGACCAAAGCAGCTGTTTTGCATACTTCATTGTCTCACATGCAGACCAACAGCCTGTCAGCATACTGCCCCCCCCCCCGTCCAAGCTTCCCACACACACTCTCTGAGACTTCCTGTCCGTCTGTGCGTGTGTCCCAGCTCGGTGTTTTATGGTCTTATTTACAGTCTCTCAGTCACAGAGTGCAACTCTGTCTTTCCTGTTTTCATTATTTGCCTCTCTTCACCGGCCAGACTCTGCACAGGTCTGAATACAAATGGCCTTTAACGCCGTCCCAGTCTCCCTCGCCGGTGTTTCGTAACATTCCGACGTGGCGGCACACGCGCACAGAGAGAGCACGGCTACTCCGCTTGCCGAGAAATAAACCCCAGACAGTGTGACTGTCAGTAATTGAAGTGAAGTTCGACACTGAGTCAATTCAAGGACTCACAATATGCTGAGAGGTTTGGAGGCAGCTCTCAGCGATGATCTCTTCAAGTAAATCTTGATCTGAAAGACAACAGAGAGCACTTTATGTTATGGACCAGAGGAGTTCACGGGAGGAAGGTTATCCATCACCTCGTCAGGTTTAGAACCTGCAGTGTAAATGCTGCTGTGACCCGTTTATGGTCTGACACCGATGACACGGACTACGACGTGTGTCTTGAGGCTCTAACAAAGCCACGCTGTGTCACAGTGGTTAGTCCTGCTGTGTGGATTTATCTATTGATTCTGTTTGGGGTCCGATCCCAGCAGTGATCAGGGGTGTCCACACTTTTTTGGCTTGGTTGCTACTGTGTAAATGACCAGGCCAAAGAGAATCCCCTTCACTAAATATATCATGTATATAAGCTGAACATTATAACATTATATAATATACATAATTATATGTTGGGTACTGATGAAATGCAGCTGGGATAATATGATTCAACTCTTACAGTATATGGTCACTACTACATACATATATACTATTTTATATACATATATGTATATATACTCATATATACATATATGTATATAAAACACAATTTGCAAAATTCTTTAACAGTGAAAATTGATGACTGATATAATTCGAATCTGAATGATAATACCTGTAATAAAATAGATTTTATTTATCTTTCTATGAATTTTTTAAAATATAAACTATTTTCTCCTTTTTTAAAAATCTCAGTTTAGATGGGGACAGTTAACGTGGCCTAACTTGATCTAAACTACAAATGCTGGCAGGTCTGTTAAACGACCCTCCACGTCCCTTGTGGTCAGATGCCGTATCTTCACCTTCAGTAGTGAATGCATGCATGCAGCACTTTGTGAGCGTGCGTGTGCGCATGCATGTGTGCCTTATCATCTCCAACACAGACACTGGCTGCAGGTTCTACTTAGAGTAGTTTGCAGTCACATGGAAAATAAGAAAAGTACCAGTTTTTTGGCCGTCTAATCTGCGGTCTGCAGTAGAAGCCGCCTGTCAAAAGTGAATATTGAAGTTGACACATGCTGCAGCTCCCCACTGTTATTCATTATAGAGATAAGGCTGCTGTGCCGTATAAGTGGTGGTCGGGGTCTGCAGAGGTGGCAGTGGAGCAGTGCAAATTAATTTCTCCCTGACTTTATGTTCATCCTTTCTTAGCAGGATGTGTGGTTCCGCTAACATCACCCTGAGCCGCTGAGACCACATGAGCCACACGGAGGATTCCCACAGAATAATCGTACATTTGAGCGTGTTGAAGGCCAGTTGGTAGGCCTGTCTCTGTGTGCCTCTGTCTCCGCTCTCCTGAAGCTGCGGCTCCGTTTTCTTTGCGTAGCGCAGAAGTTCATGCGTGACGGGCTTCTCCTCCCGCAGCTGCTGGAAAATGGCTGATGCCTGCAGATAGGCATGATCTGATAATGGGGGCGCTGTGGTGGGAAGGGGAGGGGGTGGAGGAAAGAAAAGAGGAGGAAAAAAATCACATGAACATGGGAATGCATCAGAGAGACAGAATATTACAGTATGCAGTAAATACATTTTTTCATACTGTGCTTTGTACTCCAAACTGTCTGTACAAAATATACATTTATCAACAGGCTAGTTTTCATCATAATAATACAAATGGATGAATCAAATTATCAACAGGCTAGTTTAGACTATCATAATAATACAAATGGATGAATCAAATGTTGTGGTCTGACATTAGCTGCTGTAGTTTTGTTTTACCGTCAGAGTAAAAATCAAGGAAGCAAAGCATTTCTACTGGATCGCTAAAGTTCTGGAATATTCTCTCTCTGTTTTTCCAGTCTTTTCATTGCGTTAATCCTTCTTCACTGCCTCATCACTTGTCACTCTCCTCGTGCTGTTTATAGCGCCTTCTGCCTGTCTGTCGCTGACCTTAGTCTTCTAGTCCTGTGGTTATAAATTGCTGTTAGCGTTGTGTGCTACACAACTGTGATGTGGCTGATTTAAATGCGATCATAAGTTACACAAGAAACCGCAGGAACCCTTAAGGAGAAAACGTTTATCGACGTGATAAATTTGGTGTTAAGTACTGCCATCCAAACATCAACCCTTCTAGTTTCTTCTACATTATCATTGGTATTCAAACAGATGAAGCCTCAGCATCTTGGTTTATAACCTGCGACATTCATCCTGGAAAATCCAGCATGAAGATAAACTTCCAACAGGTCCCAAAAAATGGTGACAACGTGACCAGATGCTGTTCACGTCTGACATGAACTGAATGGAGGTTTGAGGGTGAGAATTCCAAAAGATTTGAAAATGGAAATGATATTAAAGTCGTCCTCACAGCTGATAAGTTTTCAAATCTGTTTGCTTTGACACATCCCGCTCTGTGAGTCCTGCAGTGATCAACACAGCTGCTCTGTGGAGCCACATATTCTGTGGACTGCAGCCGTTTTTATTACTCACTCTATTTTTCACATCAACGACACTGGATTTATGGGACTGAGGTTTCATTTTTAAATGACGACTCTGGTTTTATGGTCAGCAGCTGAGTAACTTTTAGGAACATTGGACTAAATGACCAGTTATTTTAATACTGATACAATATTTCACCGTTGATCGGCCCGTCACCAAGTACTCTAAACTTTTTTCATTCAAGAGCATTGTAATACAGAACGGCCATGTGTATTCTCTGATACTTAAGGCTATGATTGAGTGGTATTCAAAAGTACTATATTTAATACTTTAATACCAAAAAAAAAAAGAAAAAAGAAAAAAGATGAAGTCTGCGGCCATGTGAAGTTGGTCTAGGTTTCTTGATTGGGTCAGAAAGAGACGTTTGACTTGTTGGATTACTTCAACAACAGCAATTTAAAATTCCTTGTTTTACTAAATTACTAAAAAAAAAGATATAGTAAATAGTAATAGTCATATAATAAAACTAAATCACCAAGAGACTTAACAGAATAAACGGCCATTGTTTGATGTTAAATTCTACTTTTTGTTATCCACATGATGAAACTTAATGATAGAAGGAGAGGAGGGAGAGGATGAAGGCAGGTGGAACCTCGAGGTGATTCCTCCTCTGCCACGAAGCCTGAACTCGTGTCTGGGCTGGACTCCACTGTGAGACAGTGTGTGTACAGTGTGTACTGTGGGTCATTACGTAAGGACAAAATAATCCACCAAAAATACATCTCAGAGACGGTTTTGGCAACAAAATGAGAAGTTGTCGACCAGCGCTGAGACCCACTCGTCCTGTCAGCATCTGTCCAATCGATGAGCGTCTCAGCAGACACTGTGTTTGTTTACAGAGTTCAACCTGAGCTGTGCAAATGCAAATAAGACACAGCAGCAGCAGTCATGGCCGACAGCTGAACCAGGGTCAGCCATGTCCGGCCTCTCTGTCCAGTAGCTGAGAGCCACTGTGGGTAATTGGCTTCATCCTGGTGCAATTAGACAGCAAGTCAAATACATCAGCATGAACAAAGACCAGGCTGCTGTCTGAGCGTGGACAAAGGTCCAGCCCACACACACACGTACACACACACACACACACACAAAATCCTTGCTAGGATTGCACTGATTTTTGTATGACGTAAAAAAGTGGAAAAGTACAGAAGACGCCTTACCAAAGTGTTGTGCAAGCTGCCACTAGGGGGCGTGTGAGATAAAAATGTGATGGCAATTTGGAGTGATTCTTTTAACTGATATTGTGTTTGTGTGTGTGTGTGTGTTACAAGTGTGTCCTGGTCATGTGAACATGGTTAAGCCTTTATAAGAAAGCTTGTTGCGTTTTCGTTTTTAGACCACGTCTGTTTCAAACAGAGTCAGTAGAGATGAGAGACAGGTCATGATAGAAATTCTCTAATCTGTCTGCACCATCACTGCGCTGAGCAGCTCGTACAGTGACAATCATAATGCACACGGATGTCTGAAGAATCAATGCTGCAGGTACTTCCTGTTAACAGTTCAGGACACAGCAGTACTTTTACTGCACACTGTTGAGCATGGTTGTTTATAGTGTGTAGTGCAAATATGTGCCGTGATGTAAATCTACTTGTGTCTGACTCTGACGTCTGTCAGACATAACTCTGACAGTCTCACAAAAATAAAGTTCTGCCTAACAGTGACTAAATTTACTTTATAATTAGGACTTTGGGTCAAAAAAATGTTCAGAGAAACACACACACACACACACACACACACCTGCAGCATAGGCCTAGTGTCAGTGTTGTGTGACATTGCCTCACTTGAGGATTACCGTCAGAAGTTGCAGGCCTGAATGAAACTGGATTAATGACAGAGAAAACTGACAGAGTGTAATCGGCTTTCGCAGCACTCACACCAGTGCCCCGGCAGAATAGTGGCATTTTAAAATGTGCAACGTGTCCAATAACCCCATGTTGGGGCAAAGGGAACAAATGAATGAATATGAAGCAGCTGCAACTTAACGCTGAGAAGCAGTTTACTGGAGGTCACAGGTGAAGAGGAACTTGAAGAAAGTGCGTCGGACAGTTTAGTGTCATCTGCGTAGAAAATGAAGAGCTGTTTAAAAAACACATGGCAGGTCTTACCTTTGTCATTCTGAATAGTCCCTGTGGGAACGCTACAGCTCATTTTCTTAGGAAATGAACCTGCAGCAGGAGTCCACACACACTGTGTCCTGTGTTCTACAGATCACACACCTCAACAACACACTCCAGCCACCTGAACGACATCACCGCTCTGTCAGGGAGGGGGTGGTCCTTTAGTTTGAAACGCCATGGCAACAATATGATAATGAAGAGCTAAGCCCTCTCTTTAACAAACGGACAGTGACCTCAATAGTAATTTTGATATTTCGATGTGTCGACAAGTTTAGTTTTATTTGTGTTTTCTAAAACTTGAAAAGCGATGGTGATACTCTAAAGCTCAGGTTTGAGGACAGAGGATGAAACTGTATACCTGTCAGGACCAGAAACCATAATGGCAGCTGCAAAGCATCAGTGACAATTGCTATCATGCCCTCTAGTGACCATAGTCTGTAAGCATTCTAAACTACATAAATACCACAAAATATGGATTTTCGGAGCAGCACAAATACCTCTAGGAACAAAAAATGTTTTTGAAGACACTGTTGGTTGTATCAAATATCTCAGCTCCTTCAAATCCAACCCAAAAGATCCAAAATATAGAAACACTCGACGGTTATTCCACAACAGAACATAGATTGGGTTCCTTAGCTTAACGTTTCCTTTTTCTGGTGTCCCTGAAAACTCTTCCAACTGAAAAAGTAACAAAATACATCGGACTTACCGCGGCGAAAACACTGCCTTGGTCACTCAACATTGTAAGTTACGTATACTGCCAACAGAGGGCGACACCTGTCTGAGTTGAGAGTTGAAGATGCGTTGAAGAGAGTTGTAGTAGTCGCTACAAGTTTGAGAGCTACCCCATGAATTCATTTTAAAAAATAATAAATTCATCAAGTCTAAATTTAAATATGGCGCCAAGTCGTGTAATGTCAAGTAGATAAAGAGGAAGCCCGGCTCTTTAGGAACAAGCTTTTATTTACAAGTTAAACCACTGCATGGTTAGTGTTGGAAGATCTAGCAAGTCATAGATCAGTGATTAACGAAAAGAAAAGTCCTTAAAGAACCTTCTAGACCTGAACGTAATCCACGTCTCCACGGGTGAGGCCCCAACTGGAGAGATTATCCCGGCTAACACGCGTCATCAATGTGGTCCCACACCAGGGCTCTGTTTGCTCTTTGTGTGCTGCATTAGTGTAGGTGTATGTATTTGTATGTGTGTGTGTGTGTGTGTGTGTGTAAGAGCATATTCAATAATTGGCCAATGTTGGAGACGAGAGGTCCCGAGTCCATAAGCCGATCTGGAATTTTTTCAATAAAGGTCTAATCTTTACAGGAAGGCACACGGTGGCGAAGGAAGTTTGTTTTTCCCTCTGTTCTTAATCAAGTCGTGTGCACACTCACTGCTCCGTGTCACACTGTATTCAGGTTATTGGTGCTTTGCACACAATAGTTTTTAATAGGTTTTATGCCAAGTTATCCAAAATATCCAAAATTCACGCTGTACTGCGTCTGGATCTTGACTTCAAGCATTAATCAAACATTCTCCACTCTGCTGGGAAGGATTTTCATCAAGTCTAAGAGCATTAGTGAGCATGGAAAATACCAGGTCCGCTCTCACACTCGGTGTCTCGGTTCGGCCCAGAGGTGTTCATGTCGTCAGGGTCAAAGTGTGAAGGTGAACCAGTGACACACACTCCAGTCTGTGGACTGGACTGTCTGCATACTTCATACTTCAGATGTCCCTCAGTCGTCAAGACCAAATTAATTAACACTCACGCACACACCCAACCACACACACACACACACACACTGGTGAATCACCAACATTATACATTTGTCCTGTCCTCCGTGCTCCTCATTCCGTGTGTGTGTGTGATTGATGGTTTAATTGAGAGCGCTTATTGCCGTTGAACTGCTGGAACACTGCCCCGTGTCTTTGTGTGTCACTCTCAGGAATCCGCAGTATCACTTTGGACTACTTTCCTGGGAAATCTTTGAGCTTCGTTCTCAGGTCTCTCCCTGTATTGTTCAGGAAGCAGGGCAGGGTCGCTGCTCTTTTATTGTGTGGAGCTTTGCCTTTGTCTGTACCCTGTGAAAATGCAACACATGCACGCGTGAAAGCGCTGGTAAACACTTTTCATTACACCTTCACTTTTGTATGATTATGGCCCATTACGTCAGAATCCTTCAACAATTTAAATATTTGATTGAAGTTCAGTTCTGACAGCAGGTGTGTGTACTGATGCCAGGACTGTCTGCCTCTCCTGGGGTGATTAGTTCAATGCCGTTCACCTGTGATTGTCCCTTCATCACACCTCTCACCTGGTGTCCTCAGTACAAATATACTGTGTTTGGTCTGATCTGATGTCATCTTCACTGTCCAGGTCTGTGTCTGTGTCTGTGTTCCCTGAGTGAGGACTCTGCTCTGTTGAGTTTACTAGATTTTATAAATAATATTAACTTAAGAATTATACAAATAAATTACACAGAAAATATTCTAATTCATGACAACTGTTGAACAAAGATAAAATTATTCTAATAATGATAAAGAATTGTCTGGGAAATTGTTACAGAACAGTAAAATTACATCAATTCCATTTAAAAAAAAAAAAAAACATAAGTATTTGTGTTCATTTCATTAGTAAATGAAATGATTTTGAACTGCAGTACATCAATTCCATTTAAAAAAATAAAAACATAAGTATTTGTGCTCTATTTAGTAAATGAAATGATTTTGAACTGCAGTGGGGTGCACTACCATCTCTGGCCAGGAGGGTCTGGTGCTTACACAGCAAAACCTCTGGCACCAATAAATGTGGGAAATGGAAAAGAAAAAAGTATTTTTCTTTTAAATAATTGAATTTTAATTTTGTTCTTTAAAAAACCCCAACCCTTTTCACATTTTATTTCAAATTTTAATACCAACTAAAATGCACACATATGTTTTCCCACGTGTTTGGAAGATTTTGATGAGGATGACATCTGGAAGTCAGAGAGACCTTAATCTAACTCCCAAGAGGGCAATAAACAAATAAGTGTATTGAAGAAAAAAGGTCAAAAAAGCAGACATCGTTTCTGATGTTAAAGTCAAGGACAAGCAACACCTGAGTTTATTCTAATATGATATTGTAGCTGGATACTTGGTTTTCTGTTTAAGGTTTTTTTCCTGGGTCGGTGATCGATGTTGAATCTCTTTTGTACATATTCACGTCAAGGTGTTTGCCCGAAGGCAATGGCACCTACCATGGATGGACTGGTAACCCACTTCACCACAGCCATGTATAGTACTGGTCCTTCTTGTCCACACTGGTGAGTCCTCTCTGGTGTTTCCTCTTTTCCTTCTTCCTGTCAAGTTTCAACATTCTTTGTCAATAATGTCCAGACTGCTCTCCCATCACCTTTCTCTGCACAGTTCTTTTCTCCAACATGTTTGTCGATGATCACACCCTTCATTGTCCTATGAATCAAGGGTTAGCATCAGGATAGTGTTTAAAAAATGTGAAATATGCTGCACATGCCCCTGTTTCTCAGTGATTTAATCCACTCAGTGGTAACATGAAGTGTTTCAGTTTAAAAAAGAGACCTCCTCCAAAGACTTCAGTTTCAGTGATAAGTCTTTATATTATGTATCAAACCAGTGGAAGTCATTAAACGTGTGGTTAACGCAGTGGTTTCCCTGATGTACCATCGTCTCCAGTTAACAGGTCCTTCCTCGCACAACCACTTCTCTGAACTAATCTGTCTCTTTATGGATGAGTGTAATTCTTGTAAATACTATTCTCTGTAACTATCTGCAACTATCATGTTGCACCACTTTCACATACCTTTATGCCACTCCTAACTTCTAAAGTTCTCTTGGTGCTTTCTTCCGCCTACCTTTTCAGGGTTTTTTTTTGTTTTTGTTTTTGTCTTTGTTTTTGTCTACATTTTCCTGGTAATGATGCTACTGAACAGCCTAAAAGCTCTGTCATGCCACGAGATGTGCAATCCTCACAACTTCCTCAAACTGTTAATTATATATTAATATTAATAATGTGTCCAAATTATATTTGTTTTCATATCCCTACTCCGGTGCGTATTCTTGTACATTATAAGCCTTTATATATGACTTTGTACAGTTTTGTTACAAACGAAAATAACTAACTGAGGTCTAAACTAAAGTTTGAATAGAAGTTTGTCCAAACAAATGCTGATCAAATTTCTCAAGAGAATTTTTTGTTTTTGCCTCATTATCTGCACAGACTTTTGGGATCTGGAAAATAGGGATTAAAGACAAATGTGTTGAGCAACACACGCAACAGACTCCAGCTTCCCTACCAGAGAGCAGCTGCTGTGTTGAAACTCTTTTTCTCTGTGTGAGCAGAGTCTCACACAGATCGACTCAGTCTCAGCTTCCTAAACACACACACACACTCACACTCACAGAAGAACCTGTTATTGGGTCAGACACGTTTTTTTCATCAGTTAAGAGGACATGAGTTTTTTTTTCCTTATTTGATTATCTTTGCAGTTAGATCACCTGTTTACTGGTAATTCTGTACAGTCTGGAGTCTACCACTGTGTTACCACTGTGTTACATCCATCTTTCTGTTTAACTGCTCTGTAATCGTTTTAGAATTAAGGAATTAAGTATTACTGCCGTGACTCAACACAGTCCAGATGAGCCTGAGGTGGGCGCTCATTTGAACGTTCATTGCACATATGGCCATTAAATATAATCGTGATACAAACATGATGATGGAGCAACCTAACAGGGAGTTCCGTTTTCTGTTTTGCTTTAGCTCTGAACCACTTAAAAAGTGAGCTATAGTCATTATTTTTAATCATTATATATTCTTGTTATTGAGTTTTCACAGTCAAACACTAAGAATATTTTTTATTTTTGTTTGTTTCCAGTGGAATCAACATTCACAGGTGAATTAAAAATTTTTTTTTTCATTATTATTTTCAGAGATTTGATAACTTAGAGAATAGAACAGCACATTTACAAGCATCCACAACAACGGACAAGTTTTAAGCAAAACAATGTTGAAACTACTATGGTTAGAGTGAGACAATCTGTACATGTTGGTGAGAGGAGTGATCGGGGGTTTATAAGGCTATCTACAGGAAGGAAATATTTATAAAAGTTTGTGTCACTCCTGGCTGTTACTCGCTGACAGCTAGCTGTACAGAAGATAAAACACACAGTATGCACCTGAAACCAGGAAGAAGGAAGTACCTGGTCCCGCCCACACTGAACACTTTAAGGAATTTTGGTGAGCAGAATCAAGTTTACACACACACACACACACACAGACAGCCGAATGTGGGTGGATGGTGGAGGTCTGGCGTGTTGAAACGCTGCATGGCTTAACTTGCACAATGTTGACTAAGGTAGAAGAGAATCAATAGTGGGCGGGCTGGGAAAAAGAAAGGTGATGGAAAATATGAAACAGGAGTTGAGCAGGTGAAAATGTTCTCCAATGTTTTACCTCCCTCTCAGTTGGGCAGCAGGAGCCCGTCTAACAGGAGAAGAGAGAAAATGTTGACTCTAGACGTTGTCAGTGGGTTTCACCTATCCTCCTCCCTGTGCTCATGTCGATGTCATGCTGACAGTCAAACACAGGAAAATGGGAGAGTCACAGAACACCTTGTTATTAGTGGCATTAACTTGTAGATCTACATGTACGTCACTGTAGCCCAGAGGCAGTGTGTGTCACCCTGACCTTCTGGGGCACAGATATTTGTGAATGAGTGAGTGTGCCATCGATAATGAGTGTGTGGTGGTGGTCGGTGATGCTGGGTTTACGGTTAGGTTTGTGGGGAAATGTCCTCAGAGGAATGCTGCTCTGGCTGTCGCCATACAGGTCCTGCCATTTACGTTTATGCGCACACAAACAGAGATTGGCCAGAGCCACCAGAGGATAGCATTTCCCATCCGGAATGATAGGTGAGAGGGAGGAGGGGAGGTGTGCTGGGGGTTTTGGGCACTCGGATTCTGGTTAGGTGAGTTTCAAAGAGAGAGAGAGAGAGAGAGAGAGAGCAGTCTGTTCTGTGTACACCATACACAGATCCTGTGTGTGTGTGAAACAGAAAGAGTGAGACTAACTGACGGAAAGAAACCAAGTCAGACTCCGGGTTTTACTTTGAAAGGAAAATGGATAACACAGAAGAATAAATATCCAAACACGACATTCTGAGGATCTAAAGTGACGGACGGTGACGGTGACGTTGCTCCATCCGCAGCAGCAGCAGCAGCAGCAGCAGCAGCAGCACCAACACCACACACCACTGTGACTGTACAGAGGCAGCTAGGATGTGCTGTAAGGACATATTTTTTATTTAACACCACACACACCACTGTGACTGTACAGAGGCAGCTAGGATGTGCTGTAAGGACATATTTTTTATTGAATCGTTTCTGATGTGTGTTCTGGGATCACTGCAGTGTTGGTGTGGTGTTTCTTATCAGCAGTATTTTTTTCCTTTTCCTTTCTTTTTCCCCCCTCTTTCCTCCCTTGCTTCTCTCTTCCCCTCCTCAGTTCTGAGGAATGCGGGGCTTATGTCAGTGAGAGTCAGGTACCGACTCACTAATTACCACAGCCATTGCCCTCAGCCCTCCTCTCCTCCCACCCCCACCTATGCTCACCACTCGTTCTCTCTCTCCAGCTCTCTCCTTCAACTTTGCCACTTTCGACTCACCCTCAGACCTTGTACCCCCCTCCCCAGACCTCCTCACCCCTCCTTCTGTCTCCTGCCGCTGTGCCTGCATGCTCTGTTTTAACCATAGCAGAGCAGAAGGACACAGATGATCTGAGTCAGAGGCCAAAAAAACTCAGAAAGAAGAACAGAAACTCTGACTTGTCCTCCCTGTCTCTCACTTGTTCTGCGTCTGCTATGTTTGTCACATGTGTGTGAGCTCTGTACTGATCCTGCTCTGCTGGACCTGTCATTGAAGAAAGGAAGCAGCCTGTCAGCAGACGGCAGGTCGGAGACAACCTGACGGACGGACACAGAGGAGGAGGCGAGGACGGACACGAGAAAATGAGAAAGTGATCGGCCGGATTCTCACTGTTTGAACATTGGCAGAAGAATCTACCACCACTTCCCGTCATCCCATCATCACCCTACAGGTGGGCTCCAGACTTGCCTTGTGTCTATTATTCTGTCTTTTCTTGTCTGTCTCTTTGTCTCCTTCTAATCTTGACATTAGAAACCACTTTCGCTAGAATCACAAAGACACACACACACACACACACACACACAGACACAGAGTGGATATCTGGAAGGACGTTTCTCCATCTGGTCCAGTGTTCACTCTGACCCAGCTCTGACTGCCGTAACCTTCACCACAAGGTTGTTTTAGGAGGACCCACTGTTTATTTATGTGTATGTTTAATCAGTTGCTTGTCTTGGCTATTCATCTTGTGTGTGTGTTTGTGTGTGCACCTTTGTGTGTGTGTGTACTGTATACTGTATACGTGGGGTTGTGTGTTTGAGAAACTGGTTGAGCCAGGTGCTAGCTAGCCGTGGGTGTCCTGTTGTTTTAGAAACCAGATTTAGTTTAGTGAGCGTCACTTATACACCTTGCTGTGGCTACTGTGTGATCGACTGTTGAAAACTCTGAAGGTATCACATACCAGATGTAATATTTATTGGCCTGTCCATATTCTGTGTGTAGGAGAAATGTAGGCGTTGTGCCTTCTAATATTGAAATGACTTCTTCAATTATCTGGCACTAACTACGAGGGTGTAACTAGACACTGGGAAATGAAACTGTGAGCTTCAACTAAAAAGAAAAACATTTAAAAGACCATTCAAAATATTTGTTTTTGTTTTTTAAAGGATTCCAGGATGACTTATTTTGTTCACTGATAGTGTTGTGTCTTCTACAGAAGTCTAGAGCGTACTTCCTAATCTTTTGCTATTTATCTTACCACTTACTTGTAGTACTTGTAGTACCTGTCAGCACATGCATCAGTCATGTTATTCTGTAAATACTGACCAACTGGTATGTTGCTACATAAAAACAATGTCCTAACTGAGATATCTATAGGGCTAACCATTAGCCAGATAAATTAAAGTGATTTAAAGCTACATTTAAAGCTAAAATTTTTAAAAATAATTGTATCTAATATTTTACCACATTCTTCAGTTTTAAAAAAAAAAAATTATATCTAATATTTTACCACATTCTTCAGTAATCTTTTTTTAAAATCAGAAATCTATTTTTCATTCTGTTTCTGACGTGGAGGTTCTGACCGTTCCAGTCACAGATTAGTGCTGTTGAAAAGTAGCTACAATCAAAACTACCATGTGATGGAGCCTGTAATGCAAACGTGTTTTCATCCAAATTAAAGCCCTTTCACTACTTCTCTGTAATTCCCACATCATGTTTGATTTTCAACAACCTGTTCGGTAATTTTTTGGGGATAATTTCTAATATTTAAAGACAATTTTTCCCTCTATGCCTGCGCTTATTACTCACAATCCAAGCCTGATGAGTGACTTGTGCGTCACGCTGGAAAGTAATACTCAGTTGCTTGGAATACAACAGAGTACTTGGCTGACAGTTTAAAGGAGGTGCAGTGAACAATCACCTGTCGTACTCTGTGTTTTGTGTGTGTGTGTGTGTGTGTGTGTTTCTGTGCAGGTGCACATGTGTGCTCAAGTGTTAGTTCGACCGTACCAAGTCATCAGGTGGCTCAAACTGACTCCTGTCGATAACCAAAAACACATGTATTTCAGTGGTGGTCAGTCAAACCATGTGTGCGTGCGTGCCTGTCACTCAACAGCAGTGCGGTCCTACTGTAAAGTCAAATAATTTGTCAGATATTTATCTCTCAGACGGCTGTATCACATTCCACAAATGCACGGAAAAAAGGACAGACAATCATCTGAGGCAGGAATTTATGTGTCGAGTGTTTTTCCTGCCTTGTGACCTTAATGGTATCGTGTTTGGGCCAGCTCTAGTTTCAGGAAGACATGACAATGTTTGAGTGAACGGGAGAGAGGATGAAACGATGCAGTGGAAGAATCTCTTTAACCTAGAAAAGGTGTTAGAGCAGGAAATTGATTTGAAAACCAAGACGCATGAGGAAAAAAAGGCCCCAAGAAAAAGTATAGTGAATGTGTGTGTCACCTGGCTGTCACATGACCACAACCAGGAAGCACAGGTTCAGACAAATGCATGCGTGTGTGTGTGTGTGTGTTGGACAAAGCGGAGAGCCTAATCCACCTACCAAGAATTAGGGAGAAATGTAAAGCCTTTAAAGGAGAGAGAGAGAGAGAGAGAGAGAGAGAGAGAACCTGTTTGCACTGTTGTGGTGTTTATGAAACACCTGTAACTAGATCTAATCACCCTACCTCTCTCCCTCTCCCTCCCTCGCTCTCGCTCTCTTTCTGTCTCTGTTTGTCACAAAAACACACATACCTGGAAAGCACAATGGCCACATTCTTCCCTTCTATCGTCCCAGTGCACCTCCCTTTTTGGCTCCCCTCTGATCAGACCAAACACTGAGCAGCACCAGGCGGCGGAGGTTGGTGGGTGGGGTGGGTAGTGCAGGGTAGAATCTGGCTGCACTTGGAGGTAGAACACAAGGACTTATCAGATAGAAATAGAAATTGAATTGAGTCAATGACTTTTTATAAAAACAACTGCACCTGTATGTAAATGACACAAAATGCAGATGAATATAACTAACTAAGACACAATACTTCCTCTTCGATCGTCCATAAATCTTCTTCAGGGTCCTCCTCGTTTCCTCCTATCCAGCAGCTCAATCTCCAACATCCTTTTCCAAAACATGTCCAAACTATTTTAACCTTCTAAGTTTTTTTTATTTATTTAAATCTAATCAGGTGAAAATAATTCATGCACATTTTGCAGACATGCAGTGAGAAACGTTTCAGTTAAACACACACACATAGAATGAGCCAGTAACATTGAGCAACAGCTTTGCTTTTCTAAGAACGTGGCAGGACCGACGCACACTGTTGAGTGTGTAAACAGGTGACGTCCCCTCCCCTCCCAGGCTGCATCAACACTCCTCCTCCTCCTCCTTTGTCCTTTTGGTCCCCGTTATTCCCTGTTTCCCCCCACCTTCTGCCAGTTAACCTTTAACCCCTGTCTAACCCCTCCGTGCCCCCTTTACTCCCCCTCTGTGTAGTGACACTGCTGAGACCTCCATCCTCTCAGCCTTCCTGCTGCTTCTCTCCTCCCCTCCTCGGTCCTCCAGCCTTCTTCTACACTAATGCTGTTATCATGCTTCACTTCACTGGCAGTTTTTTTTCTCTCCTCCACTTCTTCACTCCTTTGTTGGATGGAGTAAAGTACGACAGAAGAGAAAAGAAATGAAGGACAAATACTGTGTCTATGACACAGTACTGCAGTACGAGTTTAAAGTGATTCCTTCTTCCATCGACATGTAAAACATTAAAACCCAAATGTACTGTGAGGAGCCCCCTGTTTGTGAGAGTGTAACAACACCATGTCCCCTGTTCCAGTGGTTAGGGAGTACACACACACACAGACACACACACACACATTCACACACACACTAGCATCCAATTGCATGCTCTAGAAAGGGCTCTTCTCTGCATACCTGTCGCTACACAATAAGCTAGTTGTCTGGACAGTAGTCCAAAGAGTCGAGGTGTACATTTTAGTGTGTGTGTGTGTGTGTGTGGGGGGGGCAGAGATTGTAGCTCATGATGAAATCAAAACCCCAACCACGCTGATATCTGGCTGAAACTACTTGACTATTTAAATGCCTCGTCGTCTGCTTCTTTGTGGTGGTCGGTGTGATTATTTGGTCCATTCAGTGGTTAATTGCATTGTGTTTCAGGTTTTCCAGTTTCTCGCCCCAGACCCTCAGTTCATGGGGTGGAGGGAGCGGGCACTCAGAGCAATGTTTATCTAATCTCCAGAATTGTGAGTTTAGGGGTAATTTGCTGACGGTGACTGACACTGAATCCCATTACCCTTCCATTCACCTCACACCCACATGGTAAATGACCTGTTCTGTAACGCTGCCTTCCTTCTCCTGACGTCTTTGTTGTACACTTGTTCACGTCCAGTCACTTATGCCCAGCGTCCACGGTGTTTGCAGCACTTTTTATGTCACACAACTTTCATAACCATAGACGCTGTTGCCAGGGCAGCTTTAGGGTTAAGTGTCCAGCCTGGAGACAAATCACCATGTGAACCAGATGACCCCACTGTATAGTAACAGGGAAGACAACCGACCACAGTCTTTTCCTCCATCTTTGTGTCTACCCCCCCTGCCCCCCGGCCCCCACCATCTGAGGTAGTATGTGAATCACACAGTACATTCAACACTGTCAGCCTGTGTGTCATCTTCACATACATCACATACAGTCGTGTTGTGTCTTTGTTTTTCTAATTATGTGATGAATGCACACCTGCCAACATGCCTCGTGTCGTCATCTTCAGATCACTCAGAACTATTGGCTTGACATAAATTATTATTCAGGATTAAACCAATCCTGAATAGATAATGGAATCCACATATGACAATGTGTTACATACAATTAGTTGCTCCTTAGATAATTGGTTCATAATTGCAGCAGATGAAAAGGTAAAGTTCCTTTTTTAACTGTGAGGTACGTCACGATAATTGTGTCGACGTTGTTATATTTAATTTAATTGGTAAAAACAAGGCTGCCAGTTGAATTTAATTTAATAGCTTAATCACAGACTCTAACTGACTGACAGTCATTAGTTGTCATCGGTAAAGTACAACTTTACCTCTCAGTTCCTGTTTAAATTGGTGTTAAACAGTGTTACACACTTAATCAATTAGGTACAACAACATGTCTGATCAAAATCCTGTTTAGAGGAAAAAACAGTATTGGCAGCATCGTTCATCCGTGGGATAGTGATACTCTACTGTTTACTGTGGTTATAATATGAGTCAGAGTTGACCTTATTTTGACATGACTGTCATTCATACACAGTTATCCTCCCAAAAGGTAGCAGAGTAACAGTGTTCTTACAGAGACTTCCTTATTTAACTAGAATTGTTAACTTTTTGAACATGCCTGTGTCACAACTCAAGCAATCCAGATACTAAAACAAAATACTTTCACTTATGAGTATTTAGTAAGAGTAATAGAGTATTTCCCTTTGAAGGCCAGTATAAGTCGATCACTCCTCAACATTCAAGTCAGTGCTTTTAAACCCTGGGTGTTTGAAGTCATTTCACAGGACTGTTCACACTGTTCCACCTGCTGCGATGTCGTAAAGGTGATAATATTTGAAAGTCGGATAATAAATGAGACCGCAGGACCAGCGTGCTGCACTTTTCTCCTTTTGCTCAGCCACTATATGCACTGCACAGATTTGACAAATCTTGTTTGATGCTCAAGGGAAACACATATAATAACCAGTGTGTACATAATTACTGCCCACAGGTGAGGTAATTACACTTTAAGGCAGTACTTGTTAAAGAACTCAGATGTAAAATGCTGATTTTTCTTTTGTGTAGATTTCAGTGCAGAAATTGACTGATTATAATGTGACAAAGTTGAAAAACACTGTATGAAGCCAATGTTGTTTAGTCTTAGAGTCCAGCTAAAGAAAACCGTTTGTTCTGACATCTGCTCAGATGTCTATTTGTCATCCACATGCTGTTAACACCCTGTCACATGACAGTTTCTGGGTCAGAGGAGTCATACCTGCTGATGCTGCACTGGTCAGTGGTCAGATAATAGTTGGCTCCACTGTGGTTCAGTCATGAGGATGACGCTTCTTGATTGGGGGTAGTTTTTTTTTTTGTTGTTTTGATTTTCAAGCATGTTTCTATCTTAAACTTGTGCCGTCTGTCCTTCCTCCTTCCTCGCATGTCTCCTTGACCTTGATACTTAGTACTCAGTGTTGTACCTAAACACACAATGCTGCTGCTCTCCCATTGGTTACTGACAAGCCATGAGTTCTGTCAGCTGACCGGATTCTAGGCAAAAGAGGAAACTTCTTTCATCGTGGAGGATGGGGAAAAAATGTCAGATACGGAGTGTGTGTGTGTGTGTGTGTGCGTGTGTGTGAAAGACGGAGAGAGAGAGGAGAGTGTGGTAACTAGGTAGAAAGGCTGTTGTTTTAGCTCAGAGATTTTCGTAACTAGGTCAAGGACATGAGGTTAATCTATGTGTCAGAGAATTAAAATAAAAAAATGCATTTTAAACTGATCACCTTTTACAAACACACACACACGCTCACACACATTGTGAATTGCCAGTAGTGTATTTGTCTAAAGTGTTAGACTCAAGGTAATGGCAATGAGAAAGTCATCTGAAGTTCGAGCGTGAAGGTCAAATCACTTTTGCTTTTTTAACTTCAGTTCTTTGTTTTCATGATTGGAAAACAGAAAAACTGAGTTCAACTGTCACTAACTGTCACTGACTTTTCAAACCTGTTTCAAAGCAAAGTTGAGAAGTTTGATTATGTTTTTCTCTCGGTGGAAATTATGACATTTTACTTTCGATACCGTGGTTGCATTTAGATAGAACCTGATTAATCCCTTAAGCTCCAGCAGCAGCAGTACAGCACCAGAGACAACAGTAAGAACACACAGATAAGTAAAGTACAATAAGTAGTAAGTAGATTAGTAAGTAGTAATCTCAATTATTATTTATTATATTTATATTATACTATTGTTATTACTAAACTAAATTAGTGTTACATATATATGTATACATATATACTTATATTTATGCAGCCATTATCACTAGGGGTTACTATACATTATATATGTCCTATTATATAGAATAGATATTAGTAATATATTTATTTATACATAGTAGTGGCGCTTTGGCCCAGAGGCAATGTCTCTGTCGTTGGTGTGGAACCCCAGAGTTCACCTCCTGGGCAAGATCGAATCCCGGTTAGGGACCTGTGTCTGCTCACTTTAGAGACACAAATTACTGCCGAGCTGCTCATGAACATCTTTTGTGTATATAATAATCTCCCACATGCTTAGACTTGAATGAAGTGAAAGAAAGTCACAACATGAAACTTCATGTTGATGTTTCCAAAGCCTGGAGTTTTCCAAAATTTACTAAAAAATGAATAAAAAGTTTATAAAATATATTTATAACAGCATAGTGTAGTGTCTGCCTTACACACAGAGGGTCCTAGGTTCAAGCCCAGCTCTATACAAACCACATATCCGTAATGGCGCCTCCTGTGGCAGCCTGTGCAAAGACTCACACTGGGAGTTTCCCTATTGTGGGACCAATAAGTCAATGTGAGGAACTAAAAGACTATGTATGTGATACTGGGTTAGTAATTGTTGTGTAAATTTGTCACAGTCTCGCAGTAATTTAACCTGTCTTTGGGTTGGAACGACGTTCTCATTCACCAAAGCTACTGTAAATACCTGTTTACTGCCACAATAAGACCTTTGCTTCAACTTTTTACGGCCTGTGGGGGGTGAACACATTATTCCATTTTTTTAAACTTTGAACCTGCTATCTTTGTGTGCCCTCTTTCCATCTTTCCTTCCAGCTCTGTCATTATCTTTGTGTGAGTGTGTGCGTGTGTGTTGTCTGTGTGTGCTGCCCAAAAGGTGTCAATCAGTGATTATGTGTCCTTCATTAACTGAGTCATTGGTTAATGTGTCACTTGTGCAGTGACACTTGGTCTCACACACACATGCACACACACACTGACCCACACGGGCTGGAGCAGACCGGCACACTGACTGATAAGAAAGTTAGAAACTTTTCAGTTATATACACTTCCACACATTCCGTTCTCCATGACCGTCCGTGTTTCTAGCATCTATGACTGGAATGTAACAACTCTGTCCTTTCTTTTCTTTTTCTTTTTTTTTTTGGTGCTAATAATAATAATAAATTAATATTCAGTTATCTAATCTTGTGGCAGTCTGTGTAATGATGTTTCAAGTAAACACTAGGGTTAGTTCACCAACAATTTTGTATTAAATTTGTGTCTCATTTCAAATGGAATATCATCCACTAAAACAGACATCAAGTTTGTTAAAGCTATGGATTGATGACACAACAGGTTACTGTAAGAGCTAACAAAGGAATGATGGTAATCACAGGCATTCATTCAAATTCAAATTTTTTGTAGCAGCCTTTTTTCATGGTACTTCTTTTTGTCCTACCCTAGAAATACTTAAAATAATTAAATAAATTTTTAATACAATAATTTATACATTTTTGTGGGTGTTAAAAATCATACAACACTCTAAATCATTTAATTAAAGTATGTTTTAAAATTATTATTTTTTTCTTATTTTTCCATCGGCTCATTCCCTGTATCGAAATAACAGTCAATCAACACAAATGTTACTGTAGCTCTGTCCTTCTACTCAGGCTTTGGCTCCTTGTGACTTTTCCATGATTGTTTTTAATCATCACCTTTCATCCCTCTGTCCTTTAATCCCTTCCCCACCTTTTTGTCTTTTCCTTATCTCTTTATAAATATAGAGTGAGAGAGAGTAAGGTGGGGGTTACCTGTGCCGGCTAGCTCCGCCTCTTTTCTCTGGCCACTCAGGCTAAGTAAACACTAAACCATCTTTGCTTACCTTTCCTCAGCCAGACTCATCAGGTAGGCTTAGAGACTGCTGCAGTCGGTCATCTTCAGGGACAATCTTATTTTACACAGTTTTGAACACACCAGCTGGCTTCTAAAAAGAAAACAACAAAAAAAGTTGGTCTGACCCTCGATATCTGCGACCCACAGTTTGGGATACAGGTATGGTATTACTATTTTCCCTTCTGTAGCTTTCTGTGTCAATTAGTGGTCAGGTGGTTTATATAGAAAATGATTGAAATATGTTCTGCTGTTAGTAAACTTTACCACAAATTTAAGCCTAAACGTCCATGTCTATTTGGCGTGTATGTTTAAAGATTCCGATGTACTTTTGTTAGGACAAATCTAAACGAGTGATAAAGGAAAATCTACAGGAAGCACCTTTTTTTTTCACAGTTAAGATATCTGGGCTCTGTTTTGTCTGCACACAGTTCATTTAGCAGGATGTGTCATCGCCAGAGTTACAACAAACAGAAAAGAAAGGGTTTGAACGAATCAGTGCTTGCAATAGAATTCAAGATGTTATGGTCCTGTATGGTGGAACCAGTGGAACCAGTAAAGAGGCAGGCTCTCTCGCTCGCTCTCCCTCTCTTTGTATCTGTGTTTGAGAGAGTGTGTTTAAGGTGGGGGATAAAAATGCTTCATTGACTAACCAGAGACTCTGGTATTATTACCTATTGACTTCCGGGTTGTTTGTCATATAATGTGTGGACTTTTGCCCAAGCTGAGCTGAGCTGTTTGTTCTGTGAATATGTGTGGGCTGGAATATATGCGTCTGTGTGCACGTGTGTGCACAAGCAACAGAAAGACTGTGGTTTGGTGCTAAGCTTTATTCATATCTAGCTGACAGTCATAGAACCAAAGTTATTTTTTGTTGCTTGGCAGAGATACTCAGAAATGTCACGTTGTTTTTTTTATATTAAATTGTTATTTCAGCTGCATATTTCTGTAACTGTGGCATTGTGGGAGTCTGACACCCTTGATCTCCGCTGTGTTTGTTGACAGGGTGGACCCCTGTTTGAGTTTTTCAGTCTGTACCAAGGTTAGCCTGTGTGTAGAAACTGTGCAACCGCGAAGGACACGGAAACACCAAATTAATAATTTGTGTTTGTTTCTCAAAAACATCATGTCTCCATGTGGTGTGAAAAAAGGCCCAGAGGAAGACTTTCAAACAAGTGTCAGGGACATGGTCAGTGTCAGACACAATCATTTGAAACAATGTCTGCTCAGAAAACCCAGAGGCACTTGTGGAATGTTTGCCTAAGAAAACAAAGTCTCAGTCAGCTAATGCTAAAGCCAGAAGAGGTCAACTGTATTTGGAAACACTTTTAATACGTATTCAGGTATTTCAATCATGAACTGGAGCTCCTTTATTAACTATAGCTCAGGCAGCTAGGCTAAATGCTAAAGTCAAACTCAAATCACTGCTAAAGGTGTTGAAAACAACATGTTGTGATTAAAGCCCTTTTTTAATTATTATTTTTATTATTTTTTAAAGTGAACAGAGGTGCAGGCTGTGATGGTAGATAAAATTCTCTTAGAATATAAGAAACTAGAAACTTCCCTCCATGGTGAAGTTGACCTGAGCTACAGGCGGCTACAGTCACACTCCGTCTGACCTGAAATTCTTCAGGCCAGTTTCACTTTGAAGGGCTTTCTACCTTAGAGAGGAAGGACAGGACAAGGACACTGGAGAGACTACACACGGTACTCAGACACGCAGACTCCCTCTCTCTCACACACAGCAAAGACTTTTTCTCTGCATTATCCTTGTTCTTCTCCGTCCCAGTGGTGCTCTTATAGGTTGAGTGAACCAGGGGAATGAAGGTGACAGGTGCATGAATAAACAGGGAGACGTGAACAGTAAAGAGACACCAGAGAACAGTAAAAAACAAAACAAAACAGAATTGCTTAGAATTATCTGGAATAAATAATCTCTTTATTTAGCACTTGGTTGTTCTGTAAACCCATGTCAAAGTCGTCTTGAGTTCTTTAACCCAACCAATCACAAGCCAAAAAGTAAGGAAAAAATGTATTATTGTCGTAAGAAAATAAACATTTTATTTGAGGCATTTGTGCTCTGCCTTACTAGTGTTGTATTATCGACAGCAAAAACAACCAGATTTCAGGATTAAACTCCATTATTATAAAAAAAGAGGGGAAACATTCTTACTGGTTTGAACCGGTTTCTACTACAGAGGAGCCTTCTGTTAACATAACCTTAGTTTGCCTCGTATTTAAATTTTAAAAAGCTCAGTTAAAGCATTAATAAGTTAAGACACCCAGGAAATAGTTAGTTAGTTTATTAGTTTATTATAGGTTAAGGGTTGGCAGAACAGTAAAGGGTTACAAAACCAGGCAAAATAACTTATGTTAGCCAAACAGCTTAGTTAGCTTTTAGTTTTGAAAAAAAAAAAAAAAATCAGGCAAAAATATATATATCAAAAACAAATTACATTTCAAAGCTACACTAGATACTTTTAGCAAAGTAGCTACAAATATTTTTGTTAATACACTTGTAGTTATGTCTGGATAGGCAAGGAATAGCTACAGGAAAGGCAAAAGCTAGATACAATGTTAGAGGCAAAAGGCAAAAGCTAGATACAATGTTAGATTTTTAAACTGCTGAGTCATGGTAAAGGAAGCAGCCATGTTGAGATGACGCAGCTCGTTCCTCACCCATCAGTTTTGTGACCGCCCCCCTCCGCGTCCTGCTTTGTGCTGATGCAGTCAGCACAGTGAACCATGGCCTAAGGACATCATGTGTCTGTAGGAGTCAGCCACAGTTCTTACTTCCCTTTCATCAAGTGTGCTGTTTGTTTAAACTCTTAAACTGCAACTGATGCTGATTGTGTGTGAGTCTGTGTGTGCGCGCGAGTAAAATACATTAAGAATGGACTACCTGTCACCTTCACAATGTCCTGTACATGGCAGGTTTGCTGACCGGCCTGTTTAAATGTAAATATCCATGATTTGCTTACCTTGACACAGACGGTTATATGAAGTGTGAAAACCTCTCAGGGACAGTTGACAATAACTGT